TTCTATTTCTTAGTAACCCTCAAGACTTCTGCAACAATTATCACCGTTGTCTTATGTAATATTTAACAATATATTCTGTCTGAGCACGATAGTTCATTATAAAAACAGCAACATACTTTACTTGCTCAGCCAGAGACGTGCTAGGTATAAACCCCCAAAACTTTGACAACGATGAAAATAAACCATCTTGTTGTTTTCAAAGGATGTTATATATATGGCTTAGTCAACAATGCTTAAAAGATCTTGGCAGGTGAAGCATCCAGATTATAAAAACAAAAAACAATATTAATCCATGTGTTCTGACCTCACTAGAGGAAAGGTCACGGCTGCTTAGTTCTGCTCTCGAGGATAATTATCAGATATGGCTAGTGCTACTGGCGAACGGGGTTACGCCCTTCTGTGGGCAGAGTTACAGAAATCCAAGGAAAAAACCCTGAAATTAGAGTTAGAAAACTTGAAATTAAAGGAAGAGATAGCAACGCTGAAGGAAGAAACGGGACAAGGAAAGCCGGTGAATGATAGACGAAATGGACGTTAGTACAGTCAGGGACAGGGCTGACAAGGAAGGTATAAAAACTTTAATTGTCGGTGACTCACAGGTAAGGTACCTGGACAGAGCCTTTTGTGGTAAAAATAAAAATAGGATGAGGGTGTGTTTGCCAGGGGCTGGGGTGGGGGATACAGTTGACAGGATGGACAATATCTTGTCTGGTAATGGGAACAAACCCATTATCTGCCTCAGTGCAGGAGGCAACGATATTGGCCAGTGTAGGAGTGAGGAGCTTCTTGATAAGTTCAAGACAGCTATAGATCGTATTAGGACTAAGGGAGGGATCCCTATCATATGTGGTGTCCTGCCTAGAAGGAGAGTTAGCGATGAATGGTTGTCAAGGGCAGTTGGTGTCAACGGCCGTCTTGACGGATATTGCAAGTCAATATCAGTCCCATTCATTGACAACTGGGACAACTTCTACGGCAGAAGGGACCTTTATGCTAGGGATGGGGTACACCTGTCTCGGGAGGGGGTGGCAACCCTGGCTGGGTCTCTAGAGGGGGCAGTTCAAAAGATATCGAAGTCTTTAAACTGCAGTGGTAGTGGGTAAACCAAGTGAAAGATTACAGGGAAATAGTGTTAGGAATGATGACAAAACTAAATTAGACAGGGAATTTAAACCTAAACGCGGTAAAGGGAGGACTCAGAACATGACTAACTTAAATGTCTACTACTCGAACAGTAGAAGCATGAGAAACAAAATGGATGATATTAAGGCCTTGGTATGTACCGAAAAAATCGATATAATAGCATTCACTGAAACATGGATCAACCTAGACTCACGTGAGTTACCTGTCGAATACCAAATTGCGGATTACAAATTGTTCCATACTGATAGGCCGTCCAGGAAAGGAGGCGGAGTTGCCATCTATGTCAGGGATAATCTGAAGTGCGAAATAAATAAGAAAATAAAAACTGAGCGGAATACAGAAACAATTTGGATAGAATTAATCGACGGTAGGGAAAAATTAATCATAGGAGTAATATATAGACCTCCCAATCTTGATAGAGTTAATGAGTGACTTATCTGGGATGAAGTGCGCAGGGCTTCCATACACAACAAAGTCTGTATAGTAGGCGATTTTAACCTTGTCCAAATAGATTGGACTGACCTTATGGGTAACTCAGTATCAGAGGATTTCCTCGAAACGATCCAGGACTGTTTCCTAAGTCAACATATAACCGAACCCACCCGGGGTAATAATATACTCGATTTAGTTCTGTCGAACAGAGAAAACCTCATTAGCAATGTCGAGGTAGGGAACGAACTTGCAAACAGCGATCACAAAGAAATTAGATTCCAGTTAGATTTTCAGGTCAGACGTAAAGGGAATTCCATTAAAGTCCCAGATTTCAGAAGGGCAAACTTTGATAGTTTAAAGAGGCAGCTGAGAGAGGGGGTATCACGCTTGGATGTGAACCAAGATGACACCAACCTGATAACGAGATCTGAGATTGCCGAGTTCCACGACAATTTAAATAACGAGTTACTTAATGCACAAAGGCAGAACATGCCATACAAAAAACTCAGATCAGACAACAATGACCCTAAATGGATAAATAATTATTTAAAGAACATTATTGGCCAAAGGAAGGCTATAGGTAGAAGGATAAATCGTGGCGAATTTTACCTCCGGGAGTATTATAAGGTATTGGCCGGTAGGGTTAAGACCGAGATAAGAAAAGCCAAGAGGAACTATGAACTGAAGGTAGCAGGGGAGGCGAAAACAAACCCCATAGGATTCTACCAAATGTATCAAACTAAAACACGAGATAAGATTGGACCAATACGTTCAGATACTGGCGAGCTAACTGATAACGACGGAGAAATGAGCAATAATCTGAATAAATATTTTTCAACAGTTTTCACCACCGAAAATTTAAACATGATACCCGAGGCACAGACTCTATTCAGAGATAGTGAAGAAAACAAATTAAGCGAGATAGTAGTGACTAGTAACGATGTTAATAAGCAAATAGACAAACTGAAGCCTAATAAGTCACCTGGTCCCGATGAGATATTTGCCAGAGTATTAAAGGAATGTAAGGATGAGCTTAGTATGCCCTTAGCAAAGTTGTTTAACATGTCATTAAAAACAGGTGTAGTACCAGAATCCTGGAGGATAGCGAATGTAATACCGATTTTCAAGAAGGGGGATAGATCACTATCCTCTAACTACCGCCCAATCAGTCTAACATCAATAGTAGGTAAATTACTAGAATCAATTATTTCAAACTCTATTCGAAACCACCTGGAGAAGCACAAGTTGATCAATGATTCCCAACATGGCTTCACAAGCGGGCGTTCATGTCTAACTAATCTATTAACATTCTTTTCATCAGTTTTCGAATCGGTGGACAAGGGGCACAATTATGATGTGGTATATCTCGACTTTAGTAAAGCCTTCGACAGAGTCCCCCACTAAAGGCTAATTAGAAAGGTAGAAGCGCATGGCATCAAAGGTAATATCCTTAAATGGATTAGGGCGTGGTTTCGGGACAGGAAATAGAGAGTGAGCATAAACGGCACTAAATCGCATTGGAGCAACGTCACTAGTGGAGTTCCCCAAGGCTCAGTACTTGGACCATTATTATTTATTATATACATAAACGACATAGATATCGGCATAGACAGCAACATAAGTAAATTTGCTGATGACACTAAAATAGGACGTGTAATTAAATCTGACGAGGACTCTGCAAAACTACAGGAAGATCTAAACAAATTTTTCGAATGGTCGGAAAAATGGCAGATGAAATTCAATGTGGACAAATGTAAAGTACTCAGTATAGGAGATGTAAGCAGGGAAACCAGTTACCAGATGAACAATGATGCCATTGTGGAATCCAACTGCGAGAGAGATTTAGGAGTAATGATAAGTAGGAATCTTAAGCCAAGTAAACAATGTGTTTTTGCTCGAAACAAGGCTAATAAAGTACTTGGGTTCATACAAAGACGTGTTAGTTACAAGGCTAGCGAGGTCATCTTAAAATTATATCTAGCGCTTGTGAGACCTCACCTGGATTACGCAGTTCAGTTCTGGTCACGGTATTACAGAATGGATATAGAATCATTAGAAAGAATGCAGAGGAGAATGACAAGACTAATCCCGGGCATTAGGAACCTTGAATACAGAGACAGGTTAAAGCATCTTAATTTGCACTCCCTCGAGAGACATAGAGTGAGGAGCGACATGATAGAGGTGTATAAATGGAAGTCAGGGTTAAACAAAGACTCAAACTATCCAACCAGGAGCAAACAGTTAATTCGTTATAAGTTAATTAAATGGGTGGGAAAAAGCCTCTACGTAATGTGTACACTTGTAAAAAAATCAGCATATAAGAAAGAGAAAAATATGTTATAAAGTGTTAGGATCCCATTCACTCCCTTTAACCCTTTTTAAACATTTGGGGACGATGGTTTAACCCTCCAGGACTCAAAAGGTTAGGTTAGGTTAAGTTAGGTTAGTTTTGTTTTGTTACACTCATCCTTCCTCAAGACCAAAAATATTAACTTGGCTAATTTCATTTATGGTAAACAATAAAAATGTTGAGGTTGTGATATTCTACACAAACATGAGATAGTGATCACATCCATCAAGCAACCCGGATGAGTGACGACAGGCTCAAACGCTTTAACCTTGACACCGCTTGTGAGTTTGATGACATATCCTACTAAGCCACGATTACGCCATCCTGTGTTCCTCTATGCTAGCGTAAATTCTAATATTTTCTTATTGTCTCAGCTACGATTTTACCAATGTTTTATTACAAGCACTAAACTGGAGCATTTTGTGCGGGTAGCAGTACTGAGTCGCCCGTCAACCACACAATAACGGGTCAGTGAAAGTAGTGGTGGATATTATGAAGACCAGAATTGAGGATGATAAGTTAGTTAGTCCCGGGCATTAGGAACCTTGAGTATGACATATTAGGAAAACTGAAAGCTGAATTTCCATGATCTTGAGGGACGTAGAATGAGGGGCAATATGGTCCTAGTGCATTAATGTAACTCTGGGTTAAATAAAGATAATATAACTAATACTATAACTATCACATCAGGAGCGAATAGGGAAATTTAAATATAGATGGGAATTAAGTGAACACTGGTTTGGAAATACGAGATGTGGATGCGTGGAATAGATTACCAAACACCCTCACCACCACCACCACCACCACCACCACCACGTTTAATTGCTCATTTTACGGTACTGATGTCCCTTATCTATAATACTAAACTGCAACATAGCAGAGACCGATACCAACATTAACATCAAGTGCTTCTCTAAACTTAAGACATTCCTGCAACATCTCATAACATCATCAACACATCAGCATCACCAAAACATCCTCTTAACATCATCACCACATCCCACCAAACCTTCCTGCTCTCCCCCTACTATACCTAACACCCACACAGCACACCTACACAGCACATTACACTCACCTGTCATGGTAAGAACGCCGACAAAGGGACCTATAGATCGACCTGCTAGCATCACCTCATCTGATTCGCCGCCTTTGCCTCGTCTCTTCCATGCTGCGTACACACCTATGCTGAGGATGAGCGCATAGAACACCACGATGCCCGCTAGTCCCGGAACGTTCAGCATCTTGAGCCTGCAGCAAAACATACACGTATATTAAGTATATTTTAGATCTATATTACAGGCGAGGAGTATATTTTGTACAATATATATCATCAACGTACACATAAATCAATGGAAAGCCTAACTAACCGTGCCTTGCCTTACCTAACCTAACCTAACGTACTTTAGGTATAATTTGGCTTGCTTATGATGATAAATGACGTCTTAAATGCAACAAAGGAAATTTTATCCAAACTTAAAACAAAAAAATAACAAAAACAAAAAGTTACATTCTTTAAGTTTATTCTTATTATGTTATTGGTTTTACTAATTTGTTTTTCCGTTGTTGTATGCAGTTGACAACCTTGGGGGTGGGGAGGGTGTATGTACAGTACAAGTATATAAGCTAGGATATGCCGTTGCTTGCTATTGGGTTTCAGGTAAAAGTAAATTTCCAATATCGTAGGCCGAGGGTATTCAATGTGTGTGTGTGTTTGTGTGTGTGGGGGGGGGGGCGTTGTAGCTTGCTGGTGTCACGTAGTGTGTGACTCAAAGTCTGTATAAACTGTACCGGCCTCCCACGGGTCTAAATCCGGCACTAAACTGGGGTGGTTAATAAATGACTCATACTCCCAAGGTGTATTCATGAGACGAAGGTAAATAACAAAGAATATGTAAACATACTGTAGGTGGAAAACCCCGTAGGTGTTGAGCCACAGAACACGACAGACGTAGAGGAACTGCGAGCTCAAGCAGCGTACATCCTCATTTATTTGCATACATGTACCGACTGCTATTGACTTAGTAGGACACTCAGGAAAATAAAACGTATCTTTGAAAAACGTCAGTACACTTTGGGTGGAGTAAATCGATGTATTTTTATGTTTTTTTTTGCAAATCTCACAGGTTCTATTTTTATTTGTTTTTACTAATTCACAGGCTTTATAAATATATGCGTGAATAGGCATAGGGAGGGCGAGGCGGAGCGCGGATACATTGGCTGCAGTCACACACACACACACACACGAGGTGACCGAGTGTTCAGTCACAAATACCAGTATCAGTTTAAGGTCTTTGAAATATAGTATAGAGAACCAGTGGTGGATTTGGTGTTGTGGGGCTCGGTGGGGGGGGGGGGGCGGCACTCTAGCACCAGTCCACCTCTCCCCAAATTGAACCATTTGATTAACTTCTCGCCCACATTCTTCTGCTACACAATCCAGCTGTGCTGTGTGATGAATCAAGGAGATTTGTTTGGTTAGGATGGCGCCTGTAGTGCAACTCGCGGTGTCGATCTAGTGTTTTCGAGTTGCTGATTCAGTTACTGTATTTTCCCTTCAACTTATTTTACAGTATATACACCACCTGTAAGTGGGTCCCAGTGTGTGGATTCAGCACACTGTGTAGTGCATACTAAGCCTTTGGTATGCGAGATGGCAGCATGGCCGGCACTACACTCGATCGCCTCCTTTTTCTAAGCTGTTAAGTTAGGTACCCATTCACAAGTGTGACCTGGGGATACCCCTCAGGCGTGCTTACCCCCTCCTACCCGCCAGCCCGTCGTGGTGTCCTATATCAGGTAAATAGTTGGCAAGAGAGGCACCTCGGGTGGCTAGATGATACGAACACTCACTTGTTCAATATCTCGTGGAGCTTCTTACTCGTAAAAAATATGTATCGTCCCACCACGGATGTTTGTGTTGACACACACTACCTCTTGCACCAATAGTTGTTTGGTTTTTTATCACGTATGCGTGTACTAAAACATTAGCCAGGTATATGACATATATATTGCTATACACGAATTAATTCTTTGGGAAAATTATTCAATGAGAACTTCAAGGATAAGTTTGCGTATTAATACTAAGAAACTTAATTAATTTAGTAGTAGTAGAAGTAGTAGTAAACATGATTATTTCATTCAAGAATTAAAAATCGGTATGATTAAAGTATATCACACGTAAATATGTCTAAAGTATAGTAGAAGGAAAGAACATATATACTTTCCTTGGTACAGTATATCAGCGCCAGCATATGTCGTACACATACGCAGACTATAACGTGATCGCTGGCCAGAAGTACACCATCGCTAACAGCCCCAGTGACCCAGTAATGACGTTCATGACGAAGTGAACCAAATACAATACAATAAATGTCATCACCATCACAAGGTTTTAGAATAACTTAAACAGGAACGACGTTATCAAGAGGAAGGTGTCGGGAGTCTCACTTGGCTCTACATCACGAAGGAGTTTGTTATTCTCTGGTGGCCGACTCGTTAACTGGATTTTCTGTCACCAATTATTTCTCTGAAGGTGTGTGAAAGACGATTTATATCCCTTTGAACTTTTGTGTCTCAGAAGGTCTTACTTATCTTTAGCTAATTTTCTGAATAGTAATATAAATAGAAGAAAATTAAATACTCATATAATAAAAATGTACGAAATAGAAGTACTTGAGTAAACAAATGCAAAAAAATAATCGTTCTATTTATAGACAACAACCAAGAAATTTACGTTTGGATTGAAAACGTAAGAAAAGTTTGGTTATATTTGTTAGAGAAGTTATAACCAAGTGAGTGGTAGGGGTCATTAGATGTCAAGTGGATATGACATTTGACACTCGGGGTAGCTCTTGCCAAGTATGTAGGCCACACGTCATCCAACACACACGAGCCCAGTTCTCGGGAGAAACGGAAGTAGAAGTATGGCGTATCAAGTCCTGGCTCAGACGAGACCCGGCGGCTGTAAATGAAGACGATTATTTTGCCTTTTCCTCTTCGCCACTTGTTAGCTTACTAGGTCAGGCGGTTGGTCTGTTCTCTGTTATGCACTGTTGACACGAACCGGGCAGGGCATGCACGGGTTTTAAATGTATAGTACAGGAGCATATGCCAGTGTTGGTCAAGACCGAACTTCAAGTAGCTCACAATTTTTCACAACATTCTCTGGCAGGTCTCTGTACAGATAGCTTATTTAACTTGACATTATTAGTATCATCATTTGGGGTGCTAAGCATTAACCTATTCAAATGTGGACGAACATATCGCTGGTCACTCCAACACACTGAAAACCCTGGCAAGTAGACAGACGTTGATGCCTAACACGATCTTTAGTGTCTCATGTCAGTACCTAATGTGCAGGTCTAAACAAAATGTGTTTACCTTCAGAAATAATGTCCAGAACTGACGGATAATTCATGCAGTTCTGATGTGAGTTATACCCAGAGAGGGAACCAGCCAATATATTCTTTACTCATCATTAAACAACTTACAGTAGTATTAGAGCAAAATTCAGGTTGTTGGGAAAGAAATATTTGCTATTATCTAATCAGTTTTCGTTTCTAGTCACCGAGTGTAAAATTATCCAACATGTGTGAGAGTTATCATTCGTCTGGCAATGTTACTATGTGCTTTAAAAGTGAGTTCCAAAAGTCCAAGCGCCAGTTAGGGTCACTGCAGAGACACAAGCAGGCAGTGTCGAGGATACGGCACTTGACCGCATTCACTTTCCCAAATGTAGAGAGGTACCCATTTTCAATTGGGCCGAATGAGGTTACCCCAGACGCGAACCTGTAAGTTTTAAGCAGATAGCGACAACACTTATGTATTGTACGGCTCAATACATATTTATTATAGAATTGGAAGGCATGTGTTCGAGGATGGGGTGGTGTTTTTTCCCAGAACATTTATCAAGTTCTGAATTTTACTTGGAAGTGTGGTCCTCCATCACTTAGGAAAGAAAGGTTCACATTATATGCTCAGGGTGTGTCATGCGTCATGCTCATATGTGAACCACCATTGTATGTCTTCCTGTAAACATGAAGACAACTGACTCAGTGCAGGAGCGCTTGTGTGTGCTGTACCCTTGATAACAAACAAACCAGTCAAAGAGTTACCGAGATCTCGTTCAGAAGCCTTAGCCCCTAACAGTTCAGCCCAACAACAGAAACAGTAATACCAGCAACAGGCACCCTAAAGTATGCTATATGTCAACAAGCAAAGCAAAATAAGTATAAAAATAAAGGCATTCCCGGGCCATATACTTCTAGAAATATATAGTTGTCAAATAGTTTCGCTCGTGGTCAGGTATATGAAACTTAATCCATTCAGTGAAACGGGGCAATATACAGCCAGGGGAAACGAAGGCAGCCATATTCCACCATCTCCTCCCACCCCTGCTGCCCGCCCCCGAGTCCTTCTACACATACACAGCAAGCGTTACTCCCTGGCTCTGCGCCCAGTGTCGTAGCTTCTGCCAACTACAGGTATTTCGATAATGAACTTGAGAAAATACAATTGCATAAACAAGCAGCATTTTAAATAGTATACAATTATTTTATACTTATTACTATTATATTGTATTTGTAGCGGTGAGGGTAGAAGGTGGGTGGTGGTGGCGGGAGACCGGGCGGGTGGATGTGTGGGTAGGTGGCCGAGTGTCAGGTGGGGAGGTCTATAACAGGCACGAGCGTTATGGCTGCAACCCTCTACATAAGGTGAGAGATGGGGCGGCCTGATCTCGACCACCATGACCTACTATTTTGGTTGAGGCGATCTCCGCCTCACAAGCCACACCCTGCTGCTGCTGCTTCTCCTGCCCACGCTCTCAGGAGGGACACAACCTCTTGTTTTTCCTCTCACGTTAATTTTATGATTTTATTTATATCAAAGATGGGATATAAGGTGCTGTTGTTGCCCCTCTGCCTTAATATCATACAAGTATTCCAAACACGGGATGGATGCACTTTACTATTGATGTTCTTATGCTCGTTATCCCTTATACTACGGTCGCTCTGTCAAACTCAGCCTTCATACTCTGCTACTGGTACTGCCAAGGATTGAATGCACTATATGTATGTTCCTGAGTATCTTTTCCCTTTAATATAATTTTATCTTTACCAGGGAAAATCAAAATTGCACATAACACGTACTCACACGTTTACGGGTCGTTTATAAACCGTTACTTACATTAAATAAATAAGTTCATTTACTCCCAGGTCGAAAAAAAATCAATCATTATGGCAAAGAGAACATGACTCTTCTTTAATAAATATTGTATTCTGTTCTTGATAAAAAAATCTATCTATATACTAAAGCAGTTTCAAAATGTAGTACCCATATTCAAAAAGGGAGATAGAACATCAGCGTCAAATTACCGGCCGATCAGTTTGACGTCAGTAGTGGGGAAATTTCTTGAATCAATTATAGCAAATAACATCCGATCGCATTTAGAGAAAAGCAAATTAATCTACGGCTCTCAACATGGGTTTACAAAGGGAAAATTTTGTCTAACAAATCTGCTGACGTTTTTTAGGAAAGTCTTCGAGGTAGTAGATAATGACGAAAATTACGATGTTATTTACTTAGACTTTAGCAAAGCATTTGACAGAATACCGCATCAGAGGCTTCTGAGAAAAGTTAAGGCTCATGGTATCGAGGGGAAAGTTTTAAATTGGATAAAATCATGGCTCACCGACAGAACGCAGAGGGTCAGCGTAGATGGTGTTAAATCTGAGTGGGGCTGTGTAACCAGTGGGGTTCCCCAGGGGTCAGTTCTAGGCCCACTCTTGTTCATAATCTATATAAACGATCTAGATACTGGGATCAGCAGTGACATAAGCAAGTTTGCGGATGACACCAAAATAGGGCGGCAGATTAATTCAGGGCAGGATGCAAATGCACTACAGAAGGATTTAAATAAACTGCAGGGGTGGTCAGAAAAATGGCAAATGAAATTCAACACCAGCAAGTGCAGCGTACTTAATATTGGAAGAACAAATACTGTCAATGTATACAGCCTTAACAACATCAACGTAGAGAAGTCGACTTGTGAAAGAGACTTAGGGGTACTTGTAAGCCCGGACCTACGGCCTAGAAAACAGTGCGTTAATGTTCGAAATAAGGCAAACAGAGTATTAGGTTTATATCTAGAAGTGTAAGTAATAAGAGTGCAGAGGTCTTATTGCAACTATATCTTGCGCTAGTCAGGCCGCACCTCGATTATGCGGTTCAGTTCTGGTGCCCTTATTATAGAATGGATATCAATTCACTGGAGTCGGTGCAGCGAAGAATGACGAAAATGATTACGGGACTTAGAAACCTTTCATATCAGGATAGGTTAAAGAAACTAAACTTGCCTTCCCTAGAAAGACGAAGAGTGCGGGGAGATATGATAGAAGTATTTAAGTGGGTGAAAGGAATCAATAAAGGTGATATAGATAAAGTTCTTCTAACATCCGAGCAGGATAGGACTCATAGCAACGGATTTAAGTTGGATAAGTTTAGGTTTAGGAGGGAGATAGGAAGGAACTGGTTCACAAATAGGGTGGTGGACGAGTGGAACAAGCTTAGCAACTTTGTAGTACGTGCTGGAACGCTGGAAAGTTTTAAAAGGAGGCTAGATAGATTCATGGATGATAGAGAGTGGTAATAACTCTCGACAGGAGCTACCGTGCACAGGCCAACCGGCCTATTGCAGACTTCTTATTTTCTTATGTTCTTATATAGAAGTTAGAGGCTTTCTATGGCGGTTAGTAATACACAAAATACTGTATAAATATAAACACAATTCTCTTCATTCGTTTATCATATTTTTTCTTATTTATATGTACAGGATATTACTAAGTTTTTATTATTAATTTTATTGTACTTTTTTCTCATTATTTGGTATAGTTTACGTAACCTAACCTAACCTGTACAAGAGTAAGAGGAACATTTATTACTTCCGTTAGTCTCTTCCATCTCAACAGCTGACGTACTGTACTTTGTCTACCGGCATCATGAGAAAGGTTTGTATTGTCCATTGTCCACAGAAACAATTTAGCACTAGTCACCGTTACTATTCCCCTGCGCCACACACACACACGAGTTTATATTTGGTATGAATATTTTTCTTCGAGGTGCCAAGGTCATCTTCGTTCGCTGACTGTAAACATTCCTCGGCCAGAGAAATGGAATCTTTGTTTCCTTAATTATATTTTTCTCTTCACTGAATCAGCTTTTTAAAATACTCGACTTTCGACAAACGAATTCTTATTGTGGACACACTGAAATAGGGAGTGTCGAGTAACCGGCTGTCTTAAATTGTAAACCTGAATGTTTATGTCATAATGGGTGATATTTTAATATATTTCACATTAAGAGCAACTCCAGTTAGTTTAAAAGCATCTAAGTCTCGGCGGACCACTAGCAGATACTCGCACTGTCGAATTAATTTGTCTCGCGCACCTGAGGTAAAAGTGATGCAAAATGCGGTGACTCAGTTCAAGTGTACAGTTATGTATATACGACTGCTCCTTTGTTTTAGAACTGCCCTTATTTTTTTTAATTATAGATACTACTACTATTACTAATAATAATAATAATATAAATCCGAAATGATACTGTCGTTATCAACATATAATACCAAATTCAATCAAAATCTGCCGCCGCTCGCGCTGACGAATACTGCACGCCCAGGCAAACTATGTCCCTCCCCCCTCCTTGGCCAGCATGGAACAAATTTGGCCAAAATTCCCGCCGAGTTGCACCAAAGTCTAAGATGTCATATCCCTTAACATTAATCACAGAAAATACTGATTACTGAATAAACTTGATAACTTGAGATACAGTACTATATATATTAGTATCTACACACAGATTTTACTTGAAATCCACCGCTACTTGTTCCGGTGGTGACTGTTATGTCTAGCAACATCTACTTAATAAAATACCAAGACCACCTAAAGAATGAAAAAAAAACACTTATGTCTAAAAATTTAATATCAAATTTAATCTCTAGAAATCGTATTATTCTTCACTCTTAATATATAGTGAGACACAAGCAGCCATATCGCCGCCCGGAGTGGTAGTGTTTGATTTGCAATGACAAATTAATAAGTAGTCATTAAAAAAAAAAATTACGATACACCTGTATAATGAAGTGTGTTGGCTAGGTTGTGCGGATTATCAAAGTCACATATGCAGAATGTTCTTGCATTTTCCTCCATTCTCATGTTCTTATGTAACATACAAAAAACTGATATACAATAGATACGCCATCTGTTTAAGACCTCGTGTGTATACATTTACAGACCTCAGACGCAGACTGTTGAAGATGCGGTACTCGCTGAGGTGCACCACCAAGCAAAGAATTTTCAGTAATTCTTCATTATATAAAAGGATTTTGAAAGAATTGTTTTCACCAGACACAATATACATATACTATAGAAATGAGTATTATCACTTTCATATTGATAAATTAATAATAACACGGAGCAGGTTAGATAGAGTGTGTTCTCACTTTCAATTATGGAAGACTAATAATCACCTTGATTGCAGGGACTAGGATAGGAAGACTATGCAAGAGTGTATAGAGCGTAGAGGTGGAGGCGAGACGTGGCTGCCTACACTTGAGGCGGGCAAACTTGGTACTGACGGCCGGCCAAGCCAACCAGTGTGAACTCTTAGTGCACGGCCAGCAAGTTAAGGTAGCCTACCTGCCTCCCCCCAAGGGCACGTCACCCCAGCCCCGCCCCCTTGCTCTCCCATGGGAACGCCCTCTTTCACCATAATTCCAGGGAGTGTCCTCTACATCCCCACGAAAACGTCCCCACCAACCCACCCACCTCTTACAAAACACCCCTTATCTCTTACTTCCAGGGGAGCGACGTTCTCTATATCATACACACATAACGCCCATTAGTTCTTATCAGTAAAAGAATTCCCCTTTTACTCCATAGGTACAGAATGCAGATTCCACACAAGCCTCATTGTGAAAGTATTCATTTGATGTGTTGTTATGGGTTGCCAAGTACAACAAATATGGACCAGATGGGCAAGGATCTTGTAGCTACACTCAAACAGCATTACAGCATTAATATTGTGTTAGGATAGGTCAGGAATTCAATAATGTGTTTGTTGTTAAGAGAGGTATATATCATTGCATTGGCTGAGTTAATGCCTCCTTAATTTTACCTTGCAATTTAACTATTAATAGGAATAATTATAGAACATAATCCCATTTTGCCTACTGAATCAGTTACCAAGAATATGAGTAATGGCATGTACAAATTTTAAAGTTTTATCATTGAGAAAATTTGTAACCAGGTAAAAAGGTTTGGGTAATGGCTTAGTGACCTGATTATGGTGGACGCCTGCTGTCCCAAGGGGTTTCCTCACTCCTCCTCAGTCTCTGTTCACCCTTCAAGATGAGAAAAGGGGCCCGGACAAAAGCCCCCGAGGACAAAAGCCCCTCAGTAGAAGTGCAAAATGGGACAGAAGCTCCCTGTTTTTATGTTAAAGAGAGGTTCATTAGAAATATAAAAAATATATAGATTTAAATATGAAATTATTACAATTTAAATAATTAGAATATTAGAACTCTTTCAATTTCGATATAGAACAATATTAAATAAATAGAAAAAAGAAAAAGGACGACATATTTTACCTTCATATTCATTCAGTATTTAATGAGGTGACCCTAGGGCCCAGTGAGGTCACGGAATGTCAGGGGAGTAATTACCCCAGTAGACAAAACATACGTCATTGCAGATTTAATAAACATTCCTTGTATTCTTCTTTATAACTATAACAGAATTCCCGAAGGTTAGGTTAGGTTAGGTTAGAGAAGCGTTCATAAACTGTAAAAAAAATAATAATTATTTTAAAAATTCTTATTACTTCTCCTGAGGGACTTTTGTCCTAGGGGTTTTTGTCCTACACCCATGAGAAATACACGACATACACAAGGCCACTGTAAGGTTTTAATGGTTTTAATACACTCCTCAGACTGCACGAATGAGACATAGTAAGCATGGCTTCCGTCATGTACACGCTTAAAAAAACTCGCTCATGTATAAACAGTCTTGACACATCCTCCCCGCTACACTGTGGTCGGGCCAGTGACCCCGCCGCCGAACTTATCCCACAAAGTCTCAAACGTCTTAGGTATTTCATCAAGGTGAAGAACGTACTTGGTGTGGCGACTGAAATACTCGAGGGTCGATCCTTGAACACTTGATCCGATGTATTCCCAGTACGTCTTGGGCGGTGATTACTGTATTGTCGGGGTGGAGGATGGGAACCTGTCGTCACACAGTACAGAACCTTCACCGAGTACTATAAAACACTGTGAGTTGATGCTCCTGTTTAACCCTTTTATTGGCAACTGAGTAAAATAAAGTTATAGTTTACTTTACTTAACCATCCAACTACTGTTCTGATGTTTAGTTGTTGTAGAGAAGTTATTCATACTCTAATAGGACGAGTCGGGTGATAGAACTTACTGGGAAATAACGATTTACAATTTTTGTCCCAGAATATGACTTCTTTGTGAAGGCTCACAGTACTGGCTAACCATTAATGAGCTATGTAAACAGATCTCTGAGTACTGCCCTACTTTGGTCTATCTGTTCCTGCTGAAATCAGACGAGGTCACTCGGGAACAAGTAGCAACCTATATACGGGCGGCATGATCAGAGGCATCAGCTAAGTGTACGCCAAGGATTGAGTACTAGATGGTAATGGTAATCTACTTCCTGTATACAAGCACAACAAGGACAGTGTCTGGGTGCTTGGAGGTCTCCGAGGAGAACACCAAGCAACACTCCCCTACAAACAGCTGAGAACAACACTTCTCTCAACCCATCAAGAAAAAGAGGATGGCTAGTCCAGATGAGGGAACCACTGTCAAGACGGCCAACATAAGGAAATGACACCGGTGGAAGAAATAGTCAATCATAAGTATACTGAATATGTAGCAAGCCCTAAATGTGACTAATCAAGAAATGTAGTCAACAAGGTCGCCCTGAATAGCGATAACAACCCTGGGGGACGATAAGCAAAGAGCAGATATCCGTACCCTGACCCTGAGTGAGAACATCGTGTAAGTACCCAAGAGGATGTACACCTCAGGGGCTGAACGGACACCACGAGATAACATTGTCTAGAAATAGATAGCCAGTCTGAGGGAATACAAAGCTGCAGGAGTGGACGGAACAAAGACTAAGATATTAAAGAGGTAAAGAGCAGGGTATAAAAGGATTGTGGGAACATAACCGACCACTGATCGTACTAGATCAACCAATGATAGCCAGGGCTTCCTAAGCTCCACTTACCTAATGCACCAATCACGGACCAGCTTTTGCTTCCTTTATGTACAGCAAAAATTTACATGGAACTAATTCGTCAGTCCAAATTTTCCATTTCTTTCACCCTGTAGGTAACCCCCAATTAACCTGAATTAAGTTGTGAATCACCAAACACTCGGTCATTCAACACAATTTCTCTTTCAGGTGTGAGCTGTACGGTGATTGGTTGTGCGATGGATAAGGTTGCTTGTTATTGGTCGACTCACCGTCTTGCTTTCTTGGCATGAATGGCCTCCTCACAGGTGTAAAGTTGATAGATGGCGCATCTACCTCGGATCCTCGGCAATCCTCCCCCCTCCCTCTTCTCACCCACTAGCACCCCACGACGTCACCACCACTATTTGCCAACCCCACCCCCCCCCCTATTACCCCTCCCAGGCACAGATTAAGCGACTACACGATTCATTTTTTTTAGGTCTTGGGGTTCTTACACATCTTGAATATAAGACACGCAATGTTGTTTACTCGTATTTACACAACATAATATCTTTCCGCTGCAGAAAAGAGGAATTTGGGTCACATAAAAGTTAAATGTGTGTCCGTTACAGAACTTCACAGACTAATATTACTAGAAAACAGATAAACTTCTATATGAAAAAAAAAACTATAAAATACAAATTAAACCAAACAATAATTCTAGCTTTGGGATAACCTGAAGACTCCCCTTACCAACTTATTTCACCTAAAGATTAATTAACCTCCCTAACGCTAACCTCTCCCCCCCCCCTCCCTTCAATAACGTGGTTAATCTTTAGGTGAAAAAAAACTAGGGTGGTTATTCTTCAAGATACCAACACTTGACATTTAACACTGTATAAATCAATCTCTTTACAGATCTCAAAAAAATATATTCAAAAGAACATTCACCATTAAGGGGGAAATCGGTAAATATATATATGTAACTTTTTCATTAACTAATCAGTAAGGGGGGACCATTTGTATCAGCATAAGTCAATATCTATGGCAGCCAATATAAACAAGGTCATGTCAGATGCATAAATGTGTTTTAAGTCTAATTATACGGTACTGTATATATAACATGCCAATCAGATAGACACACAAACACACACACACACTATGGAGCCAGATGTCTCGCCTTTAAGAATAGGTATTTCAGGATACATTGGCACTGTGCGTGCGTGTATGTGTATGTGTGTGTGTGCGTGTGTGTGAGTGGGTACGAGTGTGTGCGTGTGTGTGTGGGTGGGTGGGAATATTTGCACGTGTGCACTGTGTTGGATCAGGGAAGGAGGACAAGGGGGCCGGGGGGTGGAGGAGGTGGCGAGGTTGGCAAGGCTAAGAGTGTGTTGTCCTGGTGTGATGTCCTAGGCGCTGCCAACACCCTCCCGCTCAGCGCTTAACGTCTGCTCTCGTGTTGCGTTAAATTACCAATCGTGTATAAGGAAAATCGTCTCCAATTTATCATGTTTTACAGCAACGTGTAGTTAAGTCACGTATTTGTTGTTAAAAGTTATATTACAGTACTAAAAATACCCCTTCCATAAAAATACACCCGTCTCATTTATTTATATCCAATTTGCCTATTTGACGACTAAAATGATGCCCTAATATCACTTAGACTCGACCCTAAGTACACCTAGCTTCTCTTACTCACAAACAGGATAAAGGGGAATATTTACGATGGTTTGGGAAGCTGCATCCATGTTTCTCAGACTCTACGCTTCATATAAGGAGTGAGAGAGATATTTGATACATGTTCAATGAGACAATCAAAATAGAAATAGTTTATATTGAATGGTATGTAGATAGTTTATGTCGGCTTTGCTGGTAAAAAAGGTTTGAAAATCGAGGAAAAAAATCGTAATCTGTGAGCTGCGAGCTGAGATCTTTCAGTGCTTTAACTACATAAAATCTCCTTCACAATCTTTAACTAACTTTCAGCATTTACCTCTTCAAAAAGATGGTGTAACCCTTAGAAATAATGACTTAAACCCCAAAATGATGACTTAAACCCCACAATGACGACTTAAACCCCCAAAATGATGACAACCAACAATAATAAGACTTGAACCCTTTAAGAAGATGATTAAACCCTTAAAAGATGACTTAAACCGTAAGATGATGACAAACTTTTAACACGATGACCAACACTTTCGGGACAATGGCTGTAATTGGGTGTTCAGCGACATACATTCCAACGGACATTTGACTGATGTGTTGTGAAACGATCTCATTCTACTTCCAACAAAATTCCAAGTTTAAAGTAAAAAATCTAAGTTATCAATAAATATATTTATTAGAATATACAAGGACGTGTGTAGAGATAAAGAACAAAATGACTAGGGTGACTATGGGTCTCGAAAAGGACGAATCAAGAAGTAAAGATCTCTTAAAAACATTATTCAACAAATATTAAAATTTTCAATTTTCCTGAAACACAGAAAATGTGTTTCACCGCAAGACTTAATTCACACACGAGCCTATGCCATTTTTTTAAGTCACTGGCATAGTCATCGTTCATAAATGTAAACCTTTTCTGTTTTAATCATTCTTATTTTAGCATCTTCTAACCCATGTCAAATTCATATAATATCACAGAACTGCAGGTGAGTTTCAGTGTTCTTCAGTCAATAACTGGTCTCCATTTCTGTTTACCTTTAAGCTGCCAGATCCTGTGTGATGGCAGCGTTCAGGTGGAGGTGTACCATACAGCGCCCGGGTTCTCAAAGATATATACTGTATGTACTGTACTTGGCGTTGAATTATTCCGGAGACTGGAGACGTATGGAGGTGTAACCGGTCCACTTACGCTACAACACACGGAGAGCAGAGGAAGTGGCATCAGAGATCAATTTCCACTTGTACTCTACCGTAGGTTGATGTGTTTCTTTAATTAACCCGTTAGAAGAAAAAAAATCAATGTGTGAATCTTTGAGAGTCCGGCCCCGATCAACATGACACACCTAACAGCGTTTCATCCTTCCATGTCTCAGTCCCTCCACAGTTCCTCCCCTCAAATCAAAATTTCCTTCGGATGACTGACTGTATGACTTTTTCACTCAACTCAATGACTGAAATATATCCCTCGTAATTTTCAGATTATAACTTAGTGTTTTAGTACCTATGTCCATTTATTTAATTACATTATTATCGGAATCTTTCATGTCTTCAATTATTAAGTTTTGAACCATCTCTCTACTTCGTGACTGGTGGAGACTTGAGACAGTATAAAACTTCCTTAGGGCGTGAAAGAGAAAGTGGTTGCGAACGATGCAGTGTGTTACTAGGGACCCCCCTACTACTGCTGGTGGGTGAGTCCTCGTCCCTTCTGGTATTCTTCCTGGTAGTGGTAGTGGTACTGCTGCTGGTGATGACGCCGCTACACCTGACAGTCAGCACCTCCAAGTAAAACACGACGGTACTGAGAACTAATCCGGAGGCTAGGACCATGAACAACCCCTGCAGGAGAGACAACACAACTAAAGATACGTATTAATTTTATTCGTGACAGTGACAGCCTGAGAGGTGTTCCCTGCAGCTGAAGATGCAAGACTAATTACAAGCATCTTATTTAACGGACTGTATGGATGAGAGGTTAGTCCGTTATATGGATGTTTCATTATATTCTTTATATAAGTGATAAAGGCTAAGCTAGTTTACTGTACTGAACTTCATATTTTACAAGTGTTAAATATTCAATGGCGAAGACATAAGCAAGCAAAGAAAACGATGATGATGCAAGCAAGCAGACAGAGAAAATAACGAAGACATACGCAAGCAAGCAAACAAGCAAGCAAATAAAACGATAATGACGCAAGCAAGCAAGCAAATAAAACGATAATGATGCAAGCAAGCAAATAAAATGATGATGAAGCAAGCAAGACAAAGAAAACGATGATGATGAAAGCAAGCAGAAAAAGAAAACGATGATGCAAGCAAGCAAATTCACAAACACATTAAGAAGAAGCAGCAGCAGCAGCAAATAAGCGCGCGCGCACACACACACACACACACACACCAAGGCAGCTCAGGAAGTTACCCATATATTAAAGAAACCAATAGGTTCCTTGACGGTGATTCTGGAGGGCAGTTGGGCACAGACAGAAGAGTTAGGGGTGGAGCTCCTCACCCAGTACTCATACAACCCTGACTCTGTTAGCATCCGGATCCTGGAGGACAACACAACATGGAGTTTATGAAGTGTTCAGAGGTGTTAGAAGGGATCACCTCAAGTTTAACCTCCGCCCCTCAAGTAGATTTCAACAGATGAGGCTACTTGGATGGTTAGGTTAGGTCAGGTTTGGTTAGGTTAGGTTGGTTAATCTTCATGTTATCCAAAATTGATTGTAAAATAACTCGACAGAAACATAAATTGTTTACTTCTCTGAGATAACATTTAAAGGCATAAAAGTGACTAAGAAAGAACTATTGTATGAATAAACTCAACGATTCAGGTATTAAAAAGACAACAAATAAAAAAAACTAAAAAAAAAACTCGTGTTATAAATATTAATGACGAGGAACCAAAACATACACTGGACTCTCCCATCTTTAGATTCCCCATCACCAAAATCTAAGTCATGTTACCAATAGACTGACCTCTGGTTGATGGCGGGCAGGAGTGGAGTGTCTTTCTGGGCTATCAATCCCATGGAACTCGGAAGGAAACTCTCTGTGGACTTGTAGAAATCACAATGACCTGTTATGGTGATTGACACATGTAGTGGAACACATATCATATATATAATGTACCTCACACACACACACACACACACACACACACATACTATTACACAAAAGAACAAAAGGAAATATCATACTTGTCTGAAGGCTGACTGCCCTATACCAGACACATATACAACACGACAATAACAAAATAACTCCACAATCATATCTCTTCCGCTAAATCCTGAGGAAAAAAATGTGGTAGATAATGAGGAGGGAGTTGTGTGTACCTGTGCGAGATAAGTCCTCGGCCATGAGCTTCTCGATGGAGCTGTTCTCGATGATAAAGGCGTGGTTGCCTCCCCTCAGCAGTCTCTGAAGGGCGCTGCTGAAGTCATAAGCCTTGATGTGTATCATTCGACTTGCCTCCTCTAGGGCGGCCAGGTCATGGAATGTCCCGTCCTGTACTTCCTGTAAGGTACAAAACACTTCAGTCTGTAATACTCAACGCCCTGTCAAACACATCAAATACTGCTCTACCTGCTGTTCTGATTGAAAATGTCTGATGGTGCCATGAAGGGCCATCTACTGGTGCCGGCACTCAGACACCTCCCTAACTAAGAGATTACAACAACTTCAATCGTCTAGTTTATATTATACTTGGATGAGTGTCGATTTAATAGCTCTATAAAGACCTCAAATGGCCGCCCTGCACTAAAGGTCACAACTTCAACTGTCAAGGCTAATTTTTCTGGAGTAAGAGCTGTGTATAACCTGCCGAAGAATGAAATGACGGCACCAAGTGTGAGCTTCTTCAAGTAGTGGGTGGTGATGTAAAGACGTGTCTGACTCACCTATCAGAATAAAAACACTGAAAATAGCATCGACATTCTATTGAAACTTCCTTGAGACTAGAGTTATATGAATTCTCGTATCCTTAGGTAGAGGAAGGAAATTTAAAAAAAATTTTTTTTTAAGAATCTGGAAGCCCGATTTAATGAGCAAACGTACCCTGAGGAGCTGGGTGTAGGCGGTGTTGGCCTCAAGGATGGCGACAAGTGAAGGATGAGTGATGAGATCTGCGAGGGTTTGTATGGGGTGAGGCACGTAGCGCACCGCCAGGAGGGACATGAGGTTCCCGCTGTAACTCCACATCAACACATTCGTCACCAACAACCACGACGCAAACACCAGCCTCTCCCAACCACGACAATTGCCCAATTCGCTGTCTATGAACGTGAATAATAGTTACAAATTTGCACACACATTACACAATTATATTTCGTCTACAGGATGTATGGTTTATATTGTATACAATATATGAGTTCGTAGTCCATGTAAATACTGAATTAACAATGTGTCTGCAGCAGTTACTCTCTCTGGACTTAACGATTTATTTTCATTTACTTTCGTCTCTTCTTTGACTGTCTACACCACATCTCTGTGATAACAAACAACAATTAAAAAGTTGTCTACAGTCTTCTCTCCTTAACTTCAAGAATATTTTTTGCAAGACTTTCACTTCTATTTAGGATTGACGAATATCAATAAAATGTTACTTACAATATTGACACACACACACACACACACACACACACACACATGGAGGCTCACTCTGCTGCAGGAGTACTCGTAAATGTTCAAACAAAAGCCTGAAGGGATTCCAGCCAGAGGTGTGTCCAGGGGTCCGCCAGAGCTTCAACATCACCACTGTGGCAACCCACGCCAACAACAGTGTCGCTATCGTGGCCACCCACACCATTGGGCGGAGGGGCAACAGGAATGCCCAGGGATCCATTTCAGGTGCTCCACTAAGGCTCATCACCCTCAGATGATCCATGGTCAAAGGCAGGGAGAAGTCGACCACCGAAGCCCGGCTCTCTGTCACAACAAAGGGCCCCAGAGCGATGTCTACATCCTGGGACACAGGTATTACGTATCATTGTATAAAAAGTCTATCATTCCTCGACTCACAACAACAAAACATTAAAATTCCAAGAAAAACTCTTATTTTTTTTTTTTAGCATGGAAGATATAGACAAGAGAATATAAAAACTGATAATGAATAAAGGTACAGAAAAGACGTAGATAACTAAGTGAACAGACACCAACACCCACCTTTTCTTAACATATGTACAGTACGAACAGAACAAAAAAAATAATAACTAAAAATGAAACGGGAAACAGACAAGATGACCTAAAAATTCCCTCTACCAAATATAAGTAAGAAAACACTGAATAATGACCAACAGAAAACGTTTGTCAATTCTATGTGGGGAACACCGACAAATTCCTGGCAAGGTATATACTAAATCCTATAAACAAATCACATTTTAAATTGGGAGGGAAGGGGGGGGGGTGTGTAGCTCGCGTAGGTGCCGACCCCTTTAAAAGGTAATAGGACAGTTAAGGCAGTAGTCCAACAGACCTATCACCCCTCTTCAGTAGTCCAGCATGTCACCCCTCCTTCAGTAGTCCAGCATGTCACCCCTCCTTCAGTAGTCCAGCATGTCACCCCTCCTTCAGAAATCCAGCATGTCACCCCTCCTTCAATAGTCCAGCATGTCACCCCTCCTTCAGTAGTCCAGCATGTCACCCCTCCTTCAGTAGTCCAGCATGTCAATAGTCCAGCATGTCTTTCAGTAGTCCAGCATGTCACCCTCCTTGTCACACCTCCTTCAGAAATCCAGCATGTCACCCCCTCCAATAGTCCAGCATGTCACCCCCCCTTCAGTAGTCCAAAATGTCACCCCCCCTTCAGTAGTCCAACATGTCACCCCTCCTTCAGTAGTCAGAAGCCCTCGCCCACCCCCTCTACCGGTAGAATGAAACAATACACACCTTTCTGGCGACTAAGCCCACCATGCCTGACCAGGAGCCATTTGCTTGCCGGCCACCCCAAGCACCGTCGGGCGGCCTTACGAGCGTGTACCTGCGAAGACCAAGCAAAATTTAGAAAAGGGATGTTTTAGATTCCATCATAACAATCAGCGTTAGAAAGGAAATACTCTAATTAATATCACCTTCGTCACCTCAAAACCACTGATGGCCATATAGCCTCTTGATATCTTAGGCTATATATTTCTCACACAATTACCTCTGTTAGTAGAAGCCATAAGTCTGAAGGATCATTGACGTCTTTCCAACACCTGTAATCACGAGTCTATTAAGTCTATTATGTTCAATGGAGGATAATCTAGCGTGCACTCTGTTGTATCTAACGTACTAAAAACATTGTCTCCTCTCCAACAATTTTAATATCGCCAAAATTATATATTCTAGCCTCTAGGGTATTATGTTTTATTCACATAATCCTGACGCTACTCCCCCTCCCCCCCAAAAAAAAATGTACTTTCAAAATGCCAGATTCTCAAGCATTCTCTGCGTTAATTCTCTATGTTCTTGCATTTCCAGTGAGAATAACAATCCACTGCCTGAACCTCTGAGAATCCGGTCACTAACACAAACACAAACACACACACACACTCGAATGTACACATGTAAACATTGACACACTGATATCCTGACCTCAAAGCTGAGACCATGAAATACGATCTTAGTCACTTCTTGGAAACAGTTTTTATGGCGTTTTCTGTTATACTTCATCTACTATTACGCAGAATAAAAATATTACTGTACTGCTTTTATTTCCTTGTTTATACAGTGTGTGTGTGTGTTAACTAATAATCGATAATGATATAAATAAATACAAAATCCCCAGCTCCTGCCATGACAGTCAAAGTGTAAAAAATACATCCTCTCCCTCTCTCTCTCTCTCTCTCTCTCTCTCTCACACACACACCCTCAGTCTCTCTTATTAGACCTTGTTGAATATAAAAACTATACCCATAACATCGTTCTATCCAGCTAGCCACACGTCAATTGCTGTCTTGTACTCAGTAGGGTTGCTTTAAGTTTGACATTTTTTTCAGTATATACAAGATGCAGAAACAAGATAACAGTCAGTTAATAAAACAATATTGTATTCATTATACATTCTGCGAAGTAACGAATACTATTCATGAGCGTGCAAAGGGGTAGATTGATACTTTCTATTTCGTCACAGTTCATTCTTAACTTTCTATTTCCTTACAACTTATTCTTATTTTTTATTTCCTCATGGACGGGTATTCTAAATGTACTTTGACCATGCCTATTGGATTAGCGTTACCTAAAGATTTAACCTCATTGTCTCCCATCCCCTCCCATCCCATTCTTGCGAGTACTATTCGAGTCTTGAACAAAAGAACGTGAGCATATTATGAAAACATTTGCAGGGAGACGAAAAGGTTGCAGTGGAATGTTTTAGGATTAACTGGAGTAAGAGGAAGCAGGAACACTCACGTGAAATTTAAAGAAGTTGAGAGTGTGTTGAGGAGCTGCATCATAGGACCCTTCAGCGTGAAAGAGGGGCGTCCAGGTCCCCCATCTTCCACCACGTCGACGAAGGCGTGTGGTCTCCAGTCCTCAACAGCCACCACTACCGACGCGCCTTTAGGGAATCTGTCCAAAATCAAAGATGAATTATTTAATCCCTAATCAGTGTGGAGGTGTGAGGCAACATTTCACAATTATCACCGTTAATACCGGCTAATACCACGAATTCTTTCTAACGCCATTATAAATATACAGTAACTCCAGTATCACTAACTCCCTTCACTACTCTCTGGCTACCACCACCACCACCCTCTTACTACTACCATCACTACCTTCTCACCACCACCACTACCTTCTCACCACCACCACTATCACCATCATTCGACTGCCAGATTTTCTTATTATGAAACACTGCCACTAGCTTAATGTGTTATGGCCAATTTCATTATTTGATTAATTTAGTGCCAAGACTGAATTTTTGCCCTTGCTTTCTTATAAACTTAAGATTTAAACACGTAGAATTAAAAAAATGTGGTAGTTAGTCTTAGCAAGTGAACTAGAAAATGTGATTTTTAAAAAAAAAAACTCTTGTTGCTGTATATTATATTATTAACAATATGGAATACATCAACATTGTTCAAATAAAAGCCTAGCCTTTTTTCTCTATAATTAGACAGTGCTATGATGTCAGATAAAGTTCATGATAGACGACTGATAATTGTAGGATATGAAGATAATAGAGAAGATTTATTTTAAGAAATGTATTACATAAATGGTAATGGAAGTAGAATAACTTAAGCGAATATATAAATAATAGCAAGTAATTGGCACCTTCCCAGCCATTGCTGATATAATTCGGCGTTGAATAGTTATTGATTAAAATGATTAGGAAAGTAAACTCTTCAAAAGAATAGTGAAATATGTTTGCTTGTTAAGTAATTATAGAATAATCAACGCAAATTAGTTAAAATTAAAATAAGTATCGCCTTCCAATAAACAAACCGTTGACTAGAGAGTTTGTGCAGTTGTATGAGGTTCATTGCACCGACGAGTTTACCTTTTTACTTTTGTCTTTTATCCTCTTCGCCACTGATCGGCACGTTCGCCGCTTGGGCGGTCGGCCACGTCTCTGATACGCACTGTTGGCAGATACTGGCTCCCGAATATATCGGAACCTGCTCCAATGTTGGTCAAGTCTGGCTTTGAATGAGCTCACACTCGGTGCCATCACAACGCTCTCTGGCAGATTGTTCCAAGTGCTCACAATTCTCACTCCGAAAAAGTTTGCCCTCAGTTTTCTGGACTCGTGGCTTCCCCAACCCAGAGTTACGACCCCTTTACCATTGTAGTACAGACTGGAACCCTTACTTAGGTACGAATGATTGTCGTGTAATATTTCTGTATATATCATGATGCTGAATTTGTTATAACCGTTCTTCCTTTTTGAGTGATTTATTTTTATTACTTCCTTTCCCCATTTTCTGACGACGGATACAGTAATTGTAGAGACGTTGGTGCTATCCTATTTTACGGGGTTGCTTGAAACATTCACTTCCCCATTCCACCCACCCGATGAAAATTACACCCAGATACACACACTCACACACGCGAGAATACTAAAAAAGAAAAGAAAAAAAAAGTCAGATAAGGTACAAAAAAAACTCCTTAGTTATCACGTGAATAGTCGAGTAATTCTGGTAGTTTAGTACCTCAGACGCACGCAAGCAGCAGGTATTTATCCACATATAGAATGGATTACTCATGTGTTTGAACAAGGTCGAGTTTTTACATTTCTTTGTCAAGACTAAACTCATATTTTTTAACTACACTTCCAATTCTTATTTAATGTTTGAGGCTAAACAGTATATATATTTTATTTTTATTTTTAATAAAGCATCAAAATAGAAGAAAAAGAAGAAGGTAGTAGTAGTATTAAGAAACTTCGATAAATTCTCCAGATAGTTTTCAGGGAAGAAGGTCACTGCCAGTGTACCAGTGACTCGCTGGTACACGATGTAAGCAAGTGGAAGAACAAGTGAAGTGAATATCGCGTACCACAACTATCACCCACCCTTCCCTCCCCCTGGTGCCCCATTCCGTTTCCAGGAGCTGTGTGTACTTAGTGGTTGTTGATCCAGTTGTCTGTCTGTTGTTTTCTTTTCCGCTCGCTTGTCCGGGTGATAATCTCAGACACTTATTGAGATCGGAAACTGAATTTTGGATATAATAATGACCAAGTGGTTTAGGATTTACTTTAGGGGGGGGGGGCACCAAATTTTGTTCATGGCATGGTGGAGTGAGGAGGCGTGTACACTACTTGTTTCTGGGGGATTTTTGGCCAATCGATCAGTTTTTGTTGTTACTGTAGTGTTACTCTCTTACAGTTACCCATCTATTGGCTTTAACTTTTATGCTCCCATGTTTTAATATTTCGTATGCGAACAGCGTTAGAAAACAGACTAAAAAAGGATAAAATGAGACTTCAGCGCGTGGGTCACCCGACTATTAACTGTTTGTTACAATTACTATTAGCTGTGTCAGTTATTTTCAAGCAATACTTACACTGAGTGTTTGTACTACTACTGTACCAGGAAATTGTCCAAGCCTAGTTTTTAATTCATGGTGCGTGTGAAGGCTCAACAACGGGAGGTAAACACAAGAAAATACGATAGTGATGACTCTGAGATCAGCCAATCCAAGTGTGGTAAACTGACCCCCCTGTTATTATATACAAACATAAGAGGCATCCATTAACAGAACAACTGTTGGACTAGAAGGCCAAACCATGATAGCCAACACATCCAACACGGCACATGAAAGCGGGGAACAAAAATTACGATCGAAATAAACGCGTTTCGTACCTAAAGCAGGTGAGAATTTTTTGCTCTCCTACACTACGGTAGACATTCCGCTAATTGGGAGTTGAATCTCTTATAAGTTTTAATTGCTGATAGATTAGTGTAATTAAGAAACTAGTTACGCGCTTTACTGAAGACGAGTAATAAGTTTTTAATGTCAGCGATACATATTGTCTCAGTACATGACAACAGGGGAACACTATCAGCTCGCGTATGCAATGTTGACTGTTCTTCCTCGAAAATGTAAATTACTCCACAATGTCCGAGAAAAAACAAAGGTAAATACAGTTGTGAAATAAAAATATAAAATATTTCCTCCCCAAATCAATAAATTAAGAAAGTCAACATGAATGTATTGCATTATATTACGTTATCTGGCTCGTGCGTGTTACTTTCTTTACTTAACTTCGTCCGCTAAGTGAATGAAGTGACAGAAGCCACAAGTTCAGAAAAATGTCTGGGCAAACTTTTTTTTTAGTCAGAGTACTCGTGGAATAACCTGCAAAAGTGTGAGTGTGGGGGGATTGAGTGTGAGCTCATTCAAATCAGACATTTTAATATCATATTCACCACTTATCACCTTACTAGCCGTTTGGGCGGTCTATCCAATGTTTGTACAGGAGGGGACCGGGAAACCTGTGGTGTTTGGTAGGGCACACTGAATAACACCCTTCTCACGTGTGTCCAGGCCAAGGCTCGAACCCTTGACATAATAGTGAGTTATGAGCGTTATCGTTGTGCACTCCTTTACACTCTGGGGCCAGTGCAACAGTATGTATCTAAACATAAATGAATTTCACCTTTTATTGACTCTTGAATGTTTTGAAGCAACTTAAAAAATAAATAAATGACAAATGAGACATACCTGAAGTTGGCAGGATTGTCTGAGATGGCTTGAAGGATATTGGACGAGTTGAGAACCTCCAGTAGTGGCCGCACCATCCTAGGGTCGTGAAAGACAGATGAAAGGTAACGTCACCTGGACCCCCCCACGCAGGGAGAATTTGTTCATGTCCGAGGAATGCTGTTTTTAGTGGCCTTAAGAAACAAATACGGTAATAAAAAACAAAAATTTCCGGTGTTTTTACTTCTTTTTTTTGTATTTGTTGTTACCTTGTCAGTAACAAAAAAAATTAATCCCTTAAAATTAATAAAATTCCGGTCTAAAACCTAATTGGATAACTCAATATTACCTTAGTGTGGTTTAGTCAACTATCATTAATGCAGTTGTTACGATAAATTGAAATTGTTACTGCTAGTACCTTTCACAGTTTGACACTTGATTGAAGTGTCAGTTCTTTATTTGATTAAATGTGTCCATTTCTGAAACAATAACAGCTGTGTTTTCTTTACTATCGAAGTTTTCAATCTGCCGGATACTTCCACAAAGCCGGAATTTAAAGTTAACGATGCTTATCATTTACCAAGACAGTTTCATAACAAGACCCAAGTAATAAGTATGTGAGCGCCAGCAACTTGGTTACCTGTGTTGTGGAGACTGCGAGAAATCCATCCACACCCTGTGCACTTCACAACAACCACCGTCTCACAGTTATGACTAGCACGACGCACTGCTGACCGCTGTTGACCGAGGCTGCCGTAGTGCCGTTTTTCCGTGGACCTATGTGACGTTAGAATTCCGCACGTTTTCTTTCTATTTTTTTATAACGAATTTTATTTTTGTTGTTCTGCTTATAAGATACATACAAGTTGCAAATTATGATGTAGTATAGCTTTCTGTACTCCGAGAAGTATACAGTGTATTAAGAATTTCACTGAATGTTTCTCAGCAAACAGAATCATTTAACATTTAACAGCTGTCTTTATACACATGTCATTGTCACACATAAAAGTCATAATACAAATAAGTTTCAATAAGGAAATGTAAATAATACATATGCAAAAATCGAAACCACACGGAATACAGTACAAAATCTCATCTTCAGAGAAAAAAAACTTTTTTGCTCAGGGAAATTCAGCATTGCTTTTTCCCTTCCAAATGTGCCAACTTTTGCATTTACTCTCTGCATTTTAGTGTTCCCACGAACAACTTAATTGCTCACACAACCTCCAAAAATTTTAATGCCTTTATACATGTCAGCATACCCCCTTACATTTCCTGTGCTTCATTCCTCAATTTTCAGAAACCCTTACATCTTCAGTGTCCTACATTTGGCAGCCCCTTACATTCTTAGTGCCCCCTACATTTTGATTGCCTTCTGCCTTTACAATGTATCTTCCATTTCCATTTCCCTCCTATGTTTTCAACAGTATTCCTCAAAAATTTCAGTGCACTCTTATCACATATTCAGTGCCCCCTACACTGCCAGTACCTCTACATTAACAATGCTTACTACGTTTTCAGTTCCCACTCCTTTTCAATAGCTGTACTCTACATTTCCAGTGCCTACCATATTTCCATTGCCTCCAAAAATGTTTGTGCCTCCTATATTTTAAGTACCCCTTACACTAACTCATTTAGACTCTTTGGTCTGTAGTATAATTTTCTCAGTTATTTTATTAGCTGGTGTTGAAACAATGCAAACTTCGAGTCCAATAAAAATACTGTACCTTGTCTATCTTTCTCTTTACTTATAGCTCATTCTTGAAAAGGATCAATGCCCATTCATATCTAGAGGTTCTCAGTATGGGTTAAAACACTAATCTAATAAAAATCAATAAAGTAATCCTGTTTTCTCCTTTCTGATACCCCTGCATTTGTTTGATGATTTGAAATGTACTTAACTTTCCTTAAATGTCTTGTCCTTGGGCACAGAAGATCCATGAAAATCATGTCATTAAAATTTAAAGTTTGGTACTTTCTCATGACCCATGTCTTTGTTTTGTACTGTAGTAACCTCTCAAATTTAAAACATTATCTCAGGGAATAATAAATTAGAATTACGTAGAGTATTTACTTCATATTATTGTCAAGATTAAGAGGAATCCGTTTATTGGGTGTCAGGTGGTGCAGAAAAGTAGGGTAACCAACAGGGAAATTTAGAAAATCTCAGTGATAGAGACAATGCATTTTTATCACAGATAGTTTATTACTTATTGAACTTAGTTCCATACATAACACAAGAGGATTTCTTAGCCTATTACAAAGCGATGAAACTTAAATGGGTATTCTATATATGTAATCAGTTTCTTCCCTGAAAGAATTGGTAATGAACTGCTGAATAAATCATCAGAAAACTGTAATAATGAAACAAGAATTAAAAAAGTTGAACTAATAATGAATCATTCTATGTCCAGTACTGTACTGTACTGTACTTTTAACAATCACTTTTTCAGGAATACATGACAAAGTTACTTGATAATGGGAGAATACAATATCTGACCTTCAAGAGTGACTTCTCTTCAGCGATCATATTATGGGTTAAAAGGTGACACAATACTGTTTTTAAAGCCTTTATGTTTGTGTGACTGGAAAGATAATGTTTATAATGGGTCTGTGGATGGGCACCAAAATCAGAGTTATGCCAACTTTGAGCTCTTCAACATGTATGGAAATGCATGTGGGTTAGGGGCTGTCAACCCTGCTCCATTACTACCCAAAGTCATGTGACACAGTTTCATAGAATCTCACATGAAAAAATAAAAAGATAAAATGAAAAGAATTGTTAATTAATCCTCTTAAAAGATTTATGAATGCCATTTTAATTTCATATATTTCACTGTGCATAAATATTTTTCCACTGCAGCACAAACTATTAAGATACAAACCTTTTGCTTTCACTGGATGTAATTTTTGGTTTGGGTTTAGCTATACCTGTACATTGAATGTACACTAGATGTATTATATTCATCTATCACTTTATATTTCACATGTACAGCATATTCATAAATCATATTTTGTCCTCCAAACATCAAACAACAGAGGGAGAATGTAGCATTGGTGTCCCCACATCTAAGACCCTTGGGTCACCAACTGGTTACTGATTCCTGTATCAGTCCTATTGAATTTAAGTTACAGTAAAGACAAGAAAGGTTCCTGAAAAACCTTTTGTAAACCATTTTTCATAAATTGGCTCACATTTTCCCCTAGGCCCCCCATTATAAAAGCTATTATATATTCCTATAAAAAAATCTTAAAATGATGGTTTACACGATCATTATAAGGTCCAGCCAAGACATAGGGTTTTAGTTTGGTAGTGATGCACTGACAGTAAATCTACTGCACTGTATGTATACAGTACAGTATTTAGTTCGAGATGTTTTGCTTTCACTGGATTTTATTTTTAATGAGGTTTTATCTGAATATGAATGCTAAACAACTTATGGTCACTACTCACTTCGGTAGAGGAATCTTGGAGAAAAAAATCAATTGAATCTTACCGCAAACTCCTGATGTATAAAATATCATCAAAGCTCAGGGGTCAAGGTAATAAAAAAGAAGCCTCATAAGTGACCATGTGGCTCATCCCTTTTCTTTGTATACAGTACAGTCACTATCAAACATTCATAATTCTTCTTCTGTTTTGGCCAATTGAGCAGAGCCGATGCACCACCCATTTATATTACGTGTTATTGCTCACCAAATTTGTGCCTCTCCCCATCACATTTTCTTTCACCTCTTTTATTACTCCATGCATGACAATATCAAACCACCATGGTGACATTAATTATGCCAGTAATTGTTACAATTAACTTATCCTCACATTAAAAAGAAACATTACTGCTCTAACGAAAAAGGATTATTAATCATTTAACTCTTTTGTTTGCTCCTTACTCTCTATTGCATTTTTTGAGAAGATGCAAATCACTTACAATTAGAAATCACTACTGTATTCTAACAAAAGAGCTCACGCAATAAAGAAAATACTGTAATAACAAAACCCTAGTATACTGCAACATTGTTTACCAATATAATGCCCAATAATACATTCTCATTAATACCATTAACTGTACTAATATTTATATCTTATCATTAATGTTTTATACTTTACAGCTCTAATGAATTCTTGCTACATATATGTTACTGCATCATTGGTAAATAGGCAGTAGTAGATTTCTTTGTGCCATGGAGGCTACGACAATACTGTACTAAAACACTCCAGACAGCAGATGACACACACCAACACAACCTAACTTAATATTGTGTTCAGTTGTTTTGGTCACTTTTAAGATAAATTTTGGTTCGTGCTGTCTGGAATCATACCATAAATATCTTTCTGTCATAGCCTCCACAGAGACTCAGGAAAAGAGTATTACTGTTGCGGTAAAACGTAACATTAATTGTAACAAAAACAAAACTCATACATGTACTGTATGTAGAAAAATACTAACATATAAAAATAAATGTGAACAAATAGAAAAAGATTGCAGAGAAATTGTAAAGGATTATAGTACTTCTTTCACAGAAAAAAAAAATCATTTGTGTGTGCATTATCAAGGTAAAAAAAAAAAATTATTTTTCATGATCAAACGGGCCTGTGTATGTGTGTAAACTAGGCATTATAGTACAGGTAGTATGTCTTAATGGACCATACATCATTGTCATATACCTGTACAACAATTCAGGTGGACTGGGGAGATACACATATCCTCAACTTATCTGAATTTCTGTACATTTTAGGTCCATTACCACATTGCAAATTTTTCCTTAGTCCCAGTTAATAATTACATAAATTCCTTTTTAGTTCACAGAAACCTGAACATTAGTAAGACATGAATACACATAAATGTTAACCAACGTCATATTAATGATCACAATCAACTGACAGCAGATGTGCACATAGGTTCTGATTCTGCCTGCAGAAGTTTCTAGTGTGGCCCACCAGGCAATAAGTTCACCCCACTCCTGTCTTGGAGTCTTGACATTCTACAACAAAACTCCATCACAGTGCACCATTCACAAGTTTACAATTACCATTACTTAATTTTCTATCATTTAAATTAAATAAGAAGGAAGTGGTACAGTACAATATATGAGGCCTGGGTGGAACCGGTGCACCTGGTCTGGGTGGAACAGATGCACCTGGTTTGGGTGGAATAGATGCACCTGGTCTGGGTGGAACAGATGCACCTGGTCTGGGTGGAACAGGTGCACCTGGTCAAGATGGAAAAAGAGGTAAACTTGGGGGGGGGGGGATGAAATACTCATAATTACACCAGCAGTAATATACAGTACATACAAGTGGAATGTTGCTTTAAGGTTGTGATGATCCTCTTTGGCACAACACATTATGCCTTCAATGATTATGATACAGTATAGGAGTAGTTATGTGGTAGCAAAGGAAACATAAGGTCAAAGAGACAACTTTACTACAGTACTTATATTTCATCACGTTGGATTTTTTCCTTTGAAAGAGTTCTTTGTGACGAATCATCAGGAGTAAAATCGTCTCTCTGACCTTGTGTTTCCTTTGCTACCATATAACTATTTGCCGAAATGAATCCTACTCAAATAGGATTGCTTTTTACCCATCCCTGTGTTAATACAATTGTTCACAGTATTAATATAAAAAATAATTCTTGACTTTAAGGGTATATGCATCTTTGTTCATACAACTGTTTGTATAACTGTACAATACAAATTAATCTTTGACATTCATATGATCACAAAATAATGTATCAGTGAATGTGTAATGGAAAAGTAATGCATTTGCCTCTCACCCCTGTGCTCAAGATTCAATTCCCACTTAGCTTGGATGTGAAAAGGGTGTTGTATAGTGTGACCTTAACAAAGGGCAAATGTTGCATATTTTTTCTTAGTACTGCTCTGTACTCTCACCCCATCACCGAACCAGATGAACATCTGGATATACAATCATCCAAGTTCAGAAATTACCTAATTCACATAAGAAAAAACAGATATCAGAGGACATATGGTATAATCTATGCAGACCAGATTATGGCATCAACACATTGTTTAAAACCTCAGTGGGTTTCAGATTTAAATTTGATCCCACAAAACAAGTACCCTGTACAGTACTGCACTTTAATGAATATGATAAAATTTCAAAAGGTGTTCTGTTGAATGTCAGTACTACAGTACAAGAATATTTACACATGAAAGCAAAGTATAATTATGAGGTATGTACATATTAAGTACGGTATTTAAAAAAAAGGTAATATACCAGTATTGCATGATGCTGAAAATATTCTCAAAGGACATCTTTTATTAATGATGATTTGCATGAGATATACTCCATGATGGCATATGATAACCCACCCCTTATTAATGCTGTCATTTCCCTATAATAAAGATTTCTTTACAATACATGTACAGTATTTGTTTTACACTCATCTCTATAAATTTTGTACCATGGTCAGTGTGAAACATTTCAGTGTTTGGTTGGAAAGCTATATCTTATTTAGGATTATAGCTTACCTTCCACAGTGGTACATTTTTTATATGTCATTTAACTTTAATGTTTAATTCATGCACAGTACCATTTACAGTACTGCACATGTAATAACTTTTGTACTTCCTTTCTTAACTATACATTTATTACCAAACTCTTTCATTAGGAAAAGTTTCCCAAGTATTTTGCTGTCTTAGAATGGATATAGAAACACATTAAGAAACACCAAAGTCTATGACTGAAAACTAAGCTCACACTGTATTGAAACTATGGTATTCAAATATGAAACAAGGTTTTCACTCATCCGGTATTCGGTTAATCTTTTTTGTTTTATTATTTTAATACTAAGTCCTTCTCTGCCACATTTATTTAAAACTACAGTACTGTTATTTTGTGACCCAACCAAATTCTTTTATAAGGTAAATACCTGTATAGCAACTCAAGAACGGCCATGCATTGGCCATAACTGTGTTAGCCCTGAACAATATTGTACTTTAAACAACCCATACTGAAAAATGTAGTCAGTCATAAAAGATGGACATTGGGCTAACACAGACAAGACACTGAAGAAGATACTGTATGACTTTGTTAGTGTTCCATCCATATCATGTAGTTTTTCTTTGGTTGTCTTGGCTATTTCTAACTTATAAGAGAATTTAGTCAAGTCACTAAATCCCAGAACAGTACAGAATCTATACCTATACTGTATGTGATAAAAATTATTTCTGTATACAGTACTAAGTGAAAATTTTATTTTTAGATCAAATGCAATGAAAGTTGTTGAAGCCTATAGAGGTACCAGAACAAAAAGAAAGGTTATGTTATGACTAGTGTGCATGACGAAATCAAAGGATTAATACTCAGTAAAAGCTATAGTATCTGGCAAGTAATAACTGTACAAATTAATCTTTGACATTCATGTGATCACAAAATAATGTGTCAGTGAATGTGTACAGTAATTATCTTTCCTACCCTACCTGGCCATAGAATCAAATTCACTTCTCATGGGTCAGTTATGTAATATAAATAAACTTATACTGTAATTACCAAATGAGTTATTTACCATATCCAAAAGATTCATGCAAAATATCTTCCTAATATTATTTATAATTGCTCATACATATAGTAAAACCTCAATAATTTGGACAAACTGGGAAGAGAAGAAGGCTGTTCAAGAAATCAAGAGTATAATCCCAAATACTGTACTGTACTAATTTCCATTAATAACAATAAAACCAAAGTGTTATCCTTATTTGCATCTTAAAGACTCATCAGAAGATTATCCCTAATTAGTATGTGCATGACCCCACACACATACTTACAAAAACAGTTATATGCAGAAAATACTTTACAATTTGGAATAGTTTGTGTGCAGATAAGTTTAAAAGCATAAATATTGATAAATATTTTGAGACTGGAGAGAAGCAGCCTCCCTAAGAATTTAAACAAGGTTGCTAATCTTATGCCCACCCTATGGACAAGCAGATAATGATACAAGTAGATTATAAATAGATTAAAATCCATTACACTTACCTTATCTTATCCTCAAGAGGTTAGCTAACCACCCAGCAACACTCCAAAGTTCCACATCACACACAGGAGCACCATCAGCCATCTGTTACACTTGCCTACTCTGCATGCTTCCCCAGTAATATCGGTTTCCTTCAAGAGGAAGTCTCACTTTCCTGCTGAATTACAATTTTCCTCAGCTTCACATGTTCTTAATAATATATTGCACAAAGTACTCTTCTTCAGTTCATAATCTTGTTAAAGCACTTCTGTACTGTACCTTTCTTAGCTGCTGTCATTATTTTCTGAGATATTTCCTGCTAGAATCATACACAAAATCATCACTATTAGCCACTACTGGAGCCCTTAATCATCACAGAAACACAAATCAAAAGAACAGTACAAATTGTGATTGAGCAGAGAGAGAGTGCAAAGATTATATGTTTATAGAAAAATCTCATGTGAAAAGTCACCACAAGGGCTAGGGTAACTTTGTTACGGTTTTCGCTCTGTGTGTTGGTGGGAGGGTCGGCACAGTGAACCTGCCGTCCAGGAAGGGTGCAACAGGTTACGCGCCCTTTACCACGGGTGTATAACAAACTTCTGAATGGACTGTACATATTATCTATAACTTCACCACATTCCAAGATCTATGATCACACATCCAGCAACTGTGTCAAGAAGGAGCATCCAGGCATGTTCATCATGGTATTGTGTATCATGCTCTATAGTACAGTACTGTACCTTACACACTATGTAACACAAGCTGTTAAGCATGTACACATAGACAGTACTGTATTCCCTTTATACAGCATTTTCTAAACCTGAAACATTTCTCCTTGACAATACGCTGCATACTTATGAATTCTTTTCAACAATTTTAGTTAGTTACTCTCTAAGGTAACTGTGAATTGTAAGATTAAAACTTGCATCAATGACTAAATTTTATTCTAATGTGTGAAATTATAGCAAAAATGAGTTCTACAAGTGTTTTCTGTTTAGCATAAATGGTCCTTTTCTAATCCATGTCTACATGTAAATACTGTACCATTAACTTGGTTATGCAATCAACAGGTACAGGTATTTCCTTTTTTAATACTGTACTGCATTAAATTTACTAATTAAAGTCATATACAGTACAACATTTTCTTATACATGTGGCTACTTACATCACTAAACATAAATTTATAATTTGATGTTAAAATAAAAAGCCTGTTCTGAGCTCATAGGGTGGCTGGGTGTTGCGAGAATAGGAGAGGTTTGGGAAGAGTTAAGCTGAGATGATTTAGGCATGTGGAGAGGTAAGCAAGCCAAGAATTACAAGGGGAGAGGTTGTAGGATATGACTTCAGAAATAAGAACCTGACAAGAGTGGCTGCAAGAGACCATGCAGCATGGTGAGCTACCATCACATAATCACAGCTAACTCAAGTGAGCAGGGAGAAAATGGTCGTAAATCAATGATGATGATAATGTATTCTTATACTATACCGGGCTGCTCATGAGCATAACCTGATGGTGCCATGACATGAATTACTGGGAGCCTGACTTAAAGTAGCAGGCAAGGGCTGAAATGTATTCAAACGTAACCCCACCTTTCTTACTCAAACCATGGTAAGTTTATCGTGAACATGTACATATCTGAATATTTAACACATTATGATTTTTTTCATTCTTACAAGCCCTAACCCAATATAATGCTGAGGCCACCATAAAGAGCAACATAATTTTTCCCTTACTCACTATACTGTAGTGCATTAATTCTAGCTGCCAGACCACATGTTCTGTTTTGGTGGCCCCTTTCCACAGTTAGACATCTTTCTGGTTTACCAGTCACTTTTATAATGATATATTTGTTTCAAATTAAGACATACCCGGTACCCTGCAGAAGTTAAGACCACAGTTCACAGAAAATGACTTATGAGCATGATAATAATGAGCAGACACACATTATCTATTTTATTGAAAATTCTGACAGATAATCAGTTCTTCTTGAATGCTCATTTATCTAAAACCCCAAACTTTCCAGCTCTTATCACTTATCATATCCCTTTAATTCTTTCTACCTCATCATATCCATTTTATTAATATTTTATCTATTTTCTTTCTAAATCTCCAATTTTCATTTCCACCTGTTTTAACTACCTAAAAAAGCCTTAGTTCATATGATCTAATCTAATAAAAGTAGCTTTCTTTTACAGGACAGTTAAACCAAGAAGCCACTACAGTATTTTTTTTTTCAGTAAACACTTTGAAAGTTGCTCTTGTTTTGCTTTTTTACACTAGGTGAAGATGGCTTTAAAGGTTTAAGGGAGACTTACATGCCAACAACCTGCATGGAAACAAATTAATGATTAAATCAATTAACCAATGGTAAATGAATGTAATACTTAACAAAACTGTTCATACAATACTCAAATCATATTTTCACTCTCATGTCCACCAGATGAAGAGACCTTTTATCAGAGATGACACTAGCCAGTTGAAGTACAGTACAGTACCACTATCATTAACAACACACATAAATAATGTTCTTACTCTTCTTGTTTACTTGGTAACTTAGAACCTTGAACAACCAACAGTGAAAAAAGTTGAAAGTCTAGCAAGCAAAACCAAGCCCCAAACACAAAAAATAATGAGTGGGTTTCAGCCACACAAAACTTCATAAAGTTGTTATTAACATATGCAAAATAGATAAAAAAATATATCATCTGCTTATCAACCTCCTTCTATTTCCTACCAACTGGAGAAATAGATGGCTTGATGTATAATGATGCAGCTACGGACTCAGGTTAAGGTCTCAATTTATTTTTGCTTGAGCCAGGTATGCCACAGCTGGTTTATATTATACAGTACTATACAATACTGTACTGTACATTGTCTTCCCAATGCAAAAAGCTAATTTGATCTTATTATACAAGCACAGTAGGTACAGTATGTAAGAAAGAACTTAAGCCACGCCTAACTAAATCTAAAAGAGTAAGACACCTAAGTAAGGTTAAGTTATACCTGGTTTTGTTCATATTCCTGGCTATATATGGTTACTGAGAACACAGGTGACACATACCCAACTCTCAAGCAAAAATATACTGTGTGCAGGATCCACATCAGTAGCAAAAGCCTTAATTGTAATGGTATCAGTCACAGAAAAGAAATTAAAGCTTCTTCACCAGAGATAAAAAAAATACTGTTTAACCTAACAACTGAACATTTTTGGCAATCTTATTCTACTGTTATTCTCTTGGTATCATTCGCATGGCTATTCATTTTTACACTCTTGCATGCTGTTCCCCACAATGATGCTGGATAACAGTGATCCAGAGCAAACACAGACTCTCCCTTCATTTGTTGACATTCACTCTCTTAATCCTTAACTGAGGTGTTCTACTGTGGAGTTGTCCTCCTTGAAAACTCCAAGATATCCACCTGATTTAATTATTAATCTCAATAAAAGAATATAAACTAAAAGTATCATGAAATAAAATCCATACAGGGAAGAAAAAAATCATATGGGTATTAAATATTTCTATTACATTCCTAACTCAGTTTCTTTATCTTTACATCTGTACACAGACATCATCCATGCATCCCCATAAAATAACAAGCATCAGAGACAGAACATATGAAACCAATCTTAAAAGCCAGCCGGGGTGTTAGTGCACAAAAACAGTTCTACTAAGCTCAGTATTAAGCCTGTATGATTAAATCAGTGGTACAGTCATTTAAAATAAACTACCCTGAAATGAGGTTTTATGTGGTGGGGAAAAACATTAACTCTAAGCCTGATATGATAAAAACCAGTATTACCTTTGTATTAAACTCAAAGTATCCTGAAATGAGGTTTTATCTGGTGAAAAGTAATATACAGTATCATTAAAAAAATCTGGAGAACAAAAATGCAATGATGATGGGGCAGCCAAACACTACTGTAATGGCTATAGCCGTCAAATGTACATACGTTATTCTAAAAAAAGAAAAGAAAAAGCAATATGGATACACATTATACATTAATACCGTGCTATACTATGGTATAGGCTCCAAAGAAATATTACCGGTACAATACCTTCAAAAATTTTACACGTGATTTATTCCAACTAATATATATATTCTGAAACAAAAATGAGCATCACTATAAACTAAAAGAAGATTGTGCTCTCTATAAATGTTAAGAATTGCAGATAGAACATTGGGAAATACAGATAAAAGACGAGGTAATCTCTGAAATTCCACCGCCATACACCTCCACATACAGCGCTCACAACTGTACAATGAATCACGGTATACAGGATGGGAAAAAATGCCTCTTAATATCCACTTATCACTTAATTATTCACTTCCATATCCACTTCTCAATCACTTTTTTTCTCACTGTAGTCCATCACTTGATAAATTTTCTAGCTCTATCAAATATCAATTGCTATCAGGTACACTTTGGTTTGGCAAAAGGAATTTTCACTAAATTTTGTTATGATCTGAAGGCAAATCTATATGTTCCTAACATTTCCTAAGAAGTTATTTTTCAATTGTTTCTAAATATTTCAATAATCACACAATCTGTATATGATAAGTGCATTATGGTACAGTATATAATATTGTACAGCAAAGCTTTGGTAATTTGTTCTAGATTAATCATGTATCTACATTATTTACTTTTCTCATCAATATCATATATACAATAACCCATGGATAAAACATTCATTATACAATTTGGATAACTTCATGAAAAAGTTAGACCAATGTAGTATACATGTAACATGGTTTTAGACTACAGTACTGTATTATCATTATTACTATTTAAGATATAAAACATCTGGTGTCACAGCAGTTTAAGTTGTGGGATGCTGCATTCACCTTAAGAGTTATCTATTTAAAAATGATGAAACCTGAGCAAGCTTTGGCACGCCCCTACTAACAACTTTGTTATTGACTCATGGGACCATCGGTAAACAAAAATGATTTACCTACCAATTCTTTACCCGGTTTGTTATGTTTTCATCGTGTCACATAGTGGTGATGTGCTTCAGTGTTTCTAATGGTCAATATTTGTCTTATATTGTGCTGACTTTTATCAGGAAAACATATAACTAAATCTGCACTCTGTGTAATGAAAAGGTCTTTCCCCACGACCTTGAGTGAGCCTGCCATGATACCAGCCTTGATTAGTCTTATCCCTTTAAGGAGCAGTGTTGTCCTTAGGTATTTTATTCTAGCTGATGCCAGACGATTTTATTCAGCTGAGAGAAACTCCTATCACTCAATGGGTTAACATCCAACAGTAAGCTTGTTTTATCATATCGTTGTTTAATTACATTAATGTTTGATTATGTTAACTATTTGAATATACGTAAATGTTGTATCCTATACAGATACGCACAGTGGGCCACTGGGCCAAGTTTCCCTGTATTTGGGAATGTCTGTGAATGTAATATTCTTTTCATTAATTTCCATTAAGAATTTAAGGAATAAAAAATTCGACTCAGTGTTTCTAGGAAACTAACACCGTGTATCATCCGAGGATTATTGTAAATTTAACTGAATAAAAAGAAGCTAACACATGTGAGACTATGAACTTTTCCATGTCCAACAGTTTATGCTGTATTCAGAGGGTGAAGATTAGAGCCTAAAGTATTTATAGTGAACAGTCCAGATGCAGGTGTTTTTTAGCATGTGGAATATTTCTGCTAATGTGTGCACAAGTGCCATGACCATATTGGTTGAAGACAAATCTGCATTAGTGACACAGTAGTAAAGAAGAAATTACATATTTTGGACATATGTATAAATTGAAAATCCACCGACTAACATTCAGTAAGACCAACATTTTTCTGTGGATAAATATGGCTATCAACTAAGTAAACATAATTATCAAATTATTACAATTACTGTACTTACATACCCACTTTTGTGGATTCACAGGTTACTCTCACACATATACTCACTATCACAACAAGTACAAGAGAGAAAAGGAGCGTTTGCTACACCACTCACTATACCGGAAAGCTTGGCACTTGTCACAGTCTCACCGTACAAAATACTCTGATGACTGCTCGGCTGTGTGACGTTACATCTATGAAAAGTCAGTCTCTCAGAAAGGAATTTGAATTACAGTAAAGTACTTTATATATGAAGTCAGCACAGAGTTACATCAATGTACTTCAAGAGTCTAGCTAGGATTAAAATGAATGACATGTATGCGTGGATGGTGAATGACAAAGAGGATATGCCCCTTCTCACGGTCTTCCCATAAAATGTTAGCCATGTGAAAATGTCATCTCATAAGCTATACTGTCCAAGGCTATTTATATATTTTTACAAACAGGGGTTAAATACATTGTAAGGTATATACATCTTAATTCCTAGCTAGAAAAATGAACTCTCTTTTCTTTTTTCTCTCCTCAACATTTCTCTTTATCATTTTTTTTTACTCTTCAGGCTCTTCCAGGTGAAGTTAAGAAAAGTCATGATTTTCTTGCACTCTATAGTTGAATCTGTCACCAGCTACAAGTGGGAATCAGACTGTGACTGACACAAGTAGTAATATTATTCATTTTTAAAACTTTAAAACCACATTATATTTAAAAGCCATAAAAAAGTTTTTTTATATATACAATTTTACTCGGTTCTGGCATCGGTATATTATTCAATATCAATTCTATGTTTAGCTTGTAAATCAACAAAGGAAAAAATCCTCAGCTACCCACAACTACACTGACATAATCTTAGCTAATCAGATTCTCAGCAAACCAGGTATTAATGAATCTTGTAATATCTTTTGAGTATTTTGTGATATCACACTGAAATCTATTATGTTACTTTAATTTTTCTTCATTTAAAGGATAGGGAATGTACTTACAATTTTACATGAATTAGTATTTAAAGTTTAACAAATCTTTGTTATAACTTCCTAATTGGGCTTCCAGTGTAAGCCATATCCAATTACACAGTAATAAAGGATAAGATACATTATTATCTAGCTACAAGTTTTAGAAACTACGATAAAAATTAAACAATTTCACACTGGGACAGTTAAGTGAATTTTTTACTAAAAATTATCAATTCCCTGTCCAGTAATTGCAGTGTCTCAAACAGTAATTGATTTGTAATTGGTCAGCCTCTGTTGTCTGCATTCACGGGTAAGCGTAATGTGCGAAGTATTAGGTAACTGGAGCACCAGGAGGGTCCTTATTTCTATGCTCACATAAAAACACACCTTAGCAGTTCTACCGAAATTTACATGTGTGATATAATGAACAGTCCCCACCAAAAAATAATATTTGTATCCAACTATCAACATTTTGAAAACTTCTGTGAAAAAAGAAATTTATTAAAAATTCTTCAATTTTATATAACCACTGTAGAAAACCTGACACAGCTGCAGTGATGCATGCTCAACACTCTGTCATTGCCTACATCCTTTCATTCAACTGCATACATCATGCTACTTCGAAAAACCCAATAACTCTGAATTTCTTCTGTTCTCAGTACATTCTTTAGCTCACACTATACATAAGAGCAAAGATATCACAAATGTGTTCTTGCCATCACAGTGCATATTAGGTTTCATCCCTCTTAGTTATTAGTACAGCTGCTCTTCACAAGAAGTGACAATCCTTCAACTCAGGGTAATGTCATCTGCCACTTGATGACAATAACCTACTCTATATAAACCAATGTGTACCCGCTGGAGGGATAAGCTTTCCTCAGATCAGGACATTTGATCCATTGTAGCTCCAACAGCTATATTCTAAAGCTTATAATAAAATACTCTTCCCAGGTTCTATCTTGGGTTTGTAAAACTGTGAAGCTCACATGCACACATCAAACTACCTCAAAATATGCTCATCCATGATAGTGGAGTACACAGCCTTGAGATGCATGTGCAACAAGCTTATACAGTTGCCTCTTCAAGTGCCTAGAAAGTTATATATGAACCCTCAGATAGTATACACTGAAATTTTAATATCAGTATCTTTAAAGACATCAGTAAGGATGTCCCTCACACGGTCCCATACCAGACCATCAAGTCCACATCCAATACGTGGCATTGCAATGGCTGCTACATTGTGTTGTAAGGAATGACGCTTCATGGCTTGTAGAGATGAACGCAGACTTAAATAAGTGGGTTTGTGCCAGTACCTCTCCTGGGAACAAAATAATAGTTTTAGTTCTCATTACACTTAAATACTATAAATAATCAGAACAATGGAAAGCTATTAATGTATATATGAAACTGATCTACCTATCAATCTATCTTTATTTCTATCCATTTGTGTGAGTTGAATAATGAGGTAAAGAACCTCAAAGAAAAGAGATATAATATGGGCAATTGATGGGAAACTTTTGTAGAGCATTTCAGGAAATGGCCATGACAACACATAGAAGCCATCAAACCAAGAGAGATAATTAACATAGGAATATAGTCACCTTAGTAACTAAATAATAAACGTATCTCTGGCCCCGCTTCAGGACGGCAACATCACCTGGCTTCTTGCCTTGTTCTGTCAGCTCCTGTACACCACCAAATTTGGCCTGAAAAAGAAAATGTTATTCAAATTTATTTTATTCAGCTGTCAATAATGAAAACAAAACAGAACACCAAACAATTAAAAGAAATTAATATTTCAATTAATATGAAACTACAGTAACTAAAACAAATAGAAACATGCTTAAAAAAAAAGCTTTAAATTTTGTAGTATGGTGCAGTACATGAACCTCTTAATTTTGCTAAGAGAGAGGGAAATAGAGAAAGTGTGCATGTATGTATGTGTGTGTGTGTGTGTGTGTGTGTGTGTGTGAATGTGTGTGTTTACACACACAAGTACATCTGTGTGTAAGTGTATGTCTGTCACTCATGTTAATATTCACCACAAATACAAGTACCGGTACTTTACAATATGCACCACAACATATAATGCAACATAATTTTTTTATGGCAACAGCCATCTAAAGATATCACTAACCTTAAAAAGGGTAGCAATACCCTTGCTCATACGTATATCTTGTGATATGCTATGGGCAAGCGAGGTTCCATCTGGACATGTAAAAACATCCCCACGTACTTCTGTAATAGCAAATCCTTCACTGCGGACGTGATTTCCTTTGGATTTCTTGATATCTCCATTTGCATCCTGGAAAAAATAAAATAAAATAAATAAATAAATAATAATAATAATATATATATACTGTATATATATATATATATATATATATATATATATATATATATATATATATATATATATATATATATATATATATATATATATATATATATATATATATATATATATATATATATATATATATATATATATATATATATATATATATATATATATATATATATATATATATATATATATATATATGCACTGGGAAGGGGGAAAACTGGGGTGAGGTGGCCTGTGAGATGATTAACCATGCTGCCATTGTTTCATGTAAGGAAACTATAAAAGTTGTGAAAAATCAATACAATTCTCAAATGTGACTTAGAAATAAAGAAAATATAATACAAAACTATAGTATAAGAAAAAAATTAAGAGCATGGGTGTGTATGTTTTATTTGGGGGGGGTGGCAACTCAAAATTCGTTTGAATTGGGTTCACCTTGTGTTTGCTCAATCATTTAACTCTGAAGCACACCATTTATGAGTATATAGATTTTTTGGGGGTTAATAAATCAATCATTTAACTTAAAAACCATTTACAATGAACTTGTTTACAGCAATGGAGTATGTACAGTTCTGCACAGGTACTTACCATATCCAAGCTTCCTTCACTATCCAAATGGGTTAGGTTCCTTGAAAACCATTTGGATATTGAATACTGTATTTGGATAGCAAATAACAAAATAAAGGGGAAAAGAGGGTTAATGAAATGGTTTACAAACAACAACAAAAACAAAATATAATACAATATACTTAACTACTGTACTGTAAATAAAATGCTGTCTACTGTTGGTGCATTACCTTATGTGAGGGTAGTGATGGCTCACCATGGGGCGAGGAGAGGTGCACTGAATAAGGGCCATACCATTTTTCGTATAAGCGAATATCAATTTCAGATAGTGAGAATGAGGTACAGGAACAGAATTCCCGAAAAAAAGAATTTTTGTATAGTGAACATTCGCATAGCGAGGGATACCTATATAGTAAATCCTCACACTAATTCATGCAAGCTCTGTCCCTTGAGGTGGGGTCTCACAAATGCTTTTATCATCAATTAATTTGAAGCAGTAATAATGGAGCAAGATAATATGATCAATTCCTTCAAAATGTAATCACACGGGTGGTTCTTGCTCCAGTTTGTACAGCAAGAAAATAAAAGTGAACACCGTCGTGCAAGTACAGTAAATCCTGGTATAAAGTTGGCCCGCTTAACGTTTCGGTACTACGTCACTAACCTTTAGATACCAAAAATTCGTTTAACGTCCCGACGACTCGATATAACGTCGTTTTTGCATCGTCATGGACTACTTTTTACGACGCATCACCCTCTCTCGACATGCTGCAGTGTCTCAACTCACGGAATGTCACAGCGTCCCCAAGCGACGCCAAGCCAGTCTCTGTTAAGCTTCCACATCATTCGTGTGTACTTAAGTGTTTTTGCTATAAATACTGTACTCTAACCATTCAAAATGGCTTCCAAGCGCCCATCAAGTGCTATTGATGCTAGTGTTGTGAAGAGGCAATGTAAGACCATTAGCCTTGCTACGAAAATGGAGGAGGAACGCCAGTCAGAGTGGGAGGAGGAGGCACCCACTGAGTCTCAGTGACTCACCACCCTCCTCCTCCTCTTCAGCCATCCTCCTCTGCTCCACTGCCCACCACACTCGCTCCACCACCTCCCACCATCAGTGAGTACAATACAAATTGATTTAGTTTTAGTTATATATATATATATATATATATATATATATATATATATATATATATATATATATATATATATATATATATATATATATATATATATATATATATATATATATATATATATATATATAGTCTGCAGTTATGCGGCTTTTGTTTACGCATTTGGTCATTTACGCAGTGCCTTGCCAGAATGAAATGCTTTAATTACGCGGTAAATTTGGTCATTTATGCGGGAAGCGGCGCGGGCAGGGTGCGCACAAGGTCGCCCAGTCATCAAAACATTATGGAGTTCTTCACCCGCCACCCACCACAGCCGGCCCAAGTCAGTGATAGTGAGAATATCAACTTTGAGGGGTTTGACAAAGAGGCCCTGCAAGCCTCTGTGGTGGATAGTGATACAATTGATACAAGTGATACAGGTGAGGGCCAATAATCTGCCCTCTGCCTCGGAACCAACCTCCCATCTTTTCTACTAACGCAAGTGTTAAAAAACCTACTATTATTGATATTTCGCTTAATTATTAATTGTGTGTGCATACCATCATAAAATTAAGATGTTATTTTGACTACAAGGTACGTATTGTGTCGGAAAAAGTGGAGTTTGGGGGTTGGCCCAGTCTCTATTTCAATTAAACCCATATGTTCTGTTATTTCATTTACGTGCTTCTCGTTTTACGCGGGCCTCCACGGGTTCAATTGACCGCATAAATGCAGACTCCAATATATATATATATATATATATATATATATATATATATATATATATATATATATATATATATATATATATATATATATATATATATATATATATATATATATATATATATATATATATATATATATATATATATATATATATATATATATATATATATATATATTATATATATATATATATATATATTGAATTTCTGTATATGTAATGCATTTCATGGGGCAAAGGGAGGCTCAGGAACGTAACTCCCGTATTTTATCTATTTCTTATTTGGAAAATTGATTCGCTTAACATTGTTTCATATAACGTCGCGTTCTCAGGAACGTAACCTCGACGTTAGGTGAGGACTTACTTTAGATGGGAGATGACACAGCACTTATCCTTGGTATTCTTTTAATTAAAGAGAAACGAGAGAAACTGAAGAAGAAACGTTTGTGGACTCATAAGTGGCTGGTGAAGAGGATGACTGAGTGTTTATTATATACTGGTTAGAGTTGAGCTAAAACGACCCACATACCATGAGGCAATAGATCGGACTAAAGAAGAGCGAGCTTAATGAGCTACCTACTGGACTATCATAGCAATACAGTAGTAGGGAGTAGGGTGGTCTCCCAGATTATAAACTTATTATGTATCTTAAAAAAACTGTGAGTGCATTTTATACATAGTAATGTTATTAACCTATGTTTTATATATATGTAAATATTTGATAAAGAAGCTTTATGTCACTTAAATATAGTAATTGCCATATTTTAACCTGAGAATCTTGCTCGAAATCATCAAGACTTGACGATCACAATTGTCCAGTAAAATTGCTCCAAAGCTTGATCGAATTTCTGGAAAATTAATCTAAATAATTTCAGTCCAGGAATTGATCATGAAAGAGTTTGTGTGATTGCTGCTTTATTCTGAGGATTTCCTTTTTTTTCTCTGTGTATACAGAACATAAAAGACTGTAATACAAAAAAGTTACACACATTCCACAACCATTAAAATGCACATCTTATGAGGTACACTTGAGTACAGTATCAGCAATCAGATATGTTCAGTCACAAAGTTTATGTAGAGTTTGGGGAGAATTTCCACAATTTCTTTGATACTAAACAGTTTTCTTTTTAAACTACTGCCGTCAGTACCAATACTTTGTGTGTGTTTTGAGACATCTTATGAGCAGTAAAACCGGTCAATGAGGACAAATGTTCCCATTACCAGATCTTACTGGCTGAAGCCAGCAGTACAGTAGTCACGATAATTAGAGAAATCTAAATTCATATTCTTCCTACCCCTTTTATCAAATTTTGCTGTCAAATATGAATAAGTTGTGGTCAAGAACCAGCTGCTGTAGCATTTATTTACCCAAATTCTAACATTAGAAATCCTACATACAGTATAATGTTCAGTTCCCACTCTGAAAGAAAAAAAAAAGTTTGGCAACAGGAAAAGCATCCGACTGTTAAACTTCCTTCAAGTTTTCCTGATGGCAACCAAGACACCAAACTCCACCATCAGATAATCAGGGCTAACCCATGCAAGTGTGGGAAATAGCCATAAAGTGTTGATAATGTTGATGACCCTTTTCACCTCAAGCATTTTCTCCACCCACTTTTCAGCAATAAAGATCCCACCTGACTCAGAATGACTATTTATCCAAAGGAATCTGTACCTGTCAATCCTACCAGTATTCAACCTTACTACTCATCTGTTTCATCTAGTTTCTTTCATACAACCTTTCTACAACTCAATGTCTCAATAACCTCACCTGATCTTCCCCACATTGTACCAACTCTGCTTCCCATTGTGTAGGCGATTTATATATAACAGGTGTACTTAGAATGTTCAGTTGTCCTGTCATATTTAGCTATCATGTTTGGAGATGGACACTGACTACTGAAAATCCAAGTGCAGTAGAATCCCAGTTATTCGGTACCCAGGCAAATGGTAGATTCAACCAACTGGGATTCAACTAACTGGCACCAAAATGAAATAATAATTCTCACTACTAAAATAAAAATTCCTCCAAAATCAGCTAAAATCGTAAGTTTGAATATTGTTCTTAATAAGGATGAGCTGCCATATTTATTGCTATGATAAACAGTAAAATTGATGCATAGCACATCATAAAATGCAATAACACATATTTAATGTACAAATATTTTGCTCCTTCCACACTCAAACCACCTTCTGGGCGAGGCGACACAGTTCAGGTAGTCAATCAGCTGACTCACAGACATGTGGCTGCCGCACTGGCTGTGTGACTGCCATGACGGCACATCAGGAGAGAGTGCAGCCACACAGTTATAGCCCAGTAACCCACTGCCTCAACACACATTCACGTCCCACGGAGATGACAAGTTGAAGAAGTTATAGCCAAGGCCTTGGCTATAACTGCCTCCACACACGTTCACTTCTCACACATATAGTACACCAATGCTCTTCATATTTCTTATTTTATAGTTTTATATTATATTTCCTTTATTTCCAATCCACATCCTTCATATAGTGGAGAAAGTGCTAATGAAGTCTGTTTTTCTGAGACAAGAATTTGCGAGGTCAGACTGTAGCACTGTGCATTGTAGGATATATTGGGGGATCCTCAGAGTATGTTTCAAATAACTGGAAAAACTCTATATCCAGCACCTCTCAATTCCCGTAAGTGCTGGATAACTGGGATTCTACTGTACTTGCATGCCAGTGAACCTGATACCATAGCAACAGCAGTCCAATGGCCTCAAGGTGACCCACCAAAACCAATTTCTGGGATGCCCTTCCACATGCAACATGACACTAAAACTGTCCGCAGTATTATGCACTTAATGATAATGCAGCCTCTCAGGGTGCTGACCCTGATTTCAGGCTCCTGTACAGTACTGTCAAGCAGAAGTGGCAGCTTGTAAAATGTTTTTCATGTAAGACTTCCAGGTGCCCTCTTAGCTGGTAAGGCAGGGTCACAATTCCTATAAGTTAATTAATATTACCTGCCTACCAATAAGTACAGTAATCTGTAATGTGTTGTCAAGGTATATTTTACACTTTACATAATTTATAATAAATGTTAGTTGCTTGGACTATAGAAGTTAGTTGGTGGATGTGTGATGAGAAAGAGAATGGTGTAAGTAAAAAAAAAAAAAATACCACTAATATTAAAAAGCAAAATACTTACACAGTTTTCAGTAATCTCCTCAGTCATTTTTCTTTTTGGAGTCACCAGGTATTTGTCCATTTCCACATCCACAAACTTGACCTGAAAACAATTTTATTATACTAATCAGTGTCACTTATTCATCTCCTTGGTTTTATATACAGTAATTCTATTAAAATCAAATGAACAAATGTAATACTGTACTATGAACTATTTTACTTTTAATGTACTGATTATAATAATAGTCTCATGAAAACAAAAACTAGAAGGCAAATAAACCAAATGAATACAGTACTGTACAGAATTGACACCCAAATAACACACACCCCCCCAATCTATTATTATAATCTTCTGGGTATTGATTGGATTTGTAAAGTAAAGGCTAGTGTATGGGGAAATAATACCATGTTACATATATTCAACTAATAAGTCACCTTCCTTCACTTAAGTCTTCATGGACCAGTACAGCTATTTATATACTGTACAGCATATACAGCACACACTTAATGTGAATACTGTACTGTATATACTCACTATCCATGAGCTAAGCAGGCAGTAAATACACAAGAAATAAATAAAAAGTCCAGTTAAACTAATTTCATCTTACATTCCAGAACATAAATTACGTTATATACTGTACCCGGTGTGTTCATTTCAATATTTCTAACGAGACTTCTAGTGGCACCTCGAGTCTTAATTGAGTTGGGTTAATCTGGTTTACCTCATGTTTCATAAATTATTTAAGATGTAGCTTTACTTTACAGGTCAGTCAACATCACCAATAGATAACAGGACATCTTTACTTATATATACTGTAGTATATATGTAAGGCTGTGGATATTTGTCCCTTTTGTCAGTTAGGTAGTTTTTTTTTTAGATTAACGTGACAGATATCCACAGAATATATTGGTATTGTTTTAGTTTCAGTCATCTGGGGAATCTTAGGGGGTCTGGGGGGGGTGCATTGGTTACATATAGTTCCTGGGTTCTGTGTCTAAGTTAGGTTAGGTTACATTGGGTTAGGTTAGGTTACATTAATTTGGATACTTAAATACAGGGATGACCGAAACTAAAAATTTTCCCATATATTTAATAATATTCTAAGTTATTAAATTCAAATTCTCACTTCTGTTCTGAAAAAATCTACACCAGTGTTCTTGGGGAAAATTTTAGTACAATATCTTTTATTATATTATTTAATACTGAATAAATATTTAAAAACAACTATATTAACAATAATTAATTAATGATAATATCCCTAATCTACGAAACATACTAATTCTTAACAGTATTTCAAAACAAATTAAGACTTACAATATCCAGTTACTAAATAATAATCTCAATTTTGGTAGTGTACTGAAAAGCTAGTTTCAATCACAATGGCTCACATAATTTGAATAATGTTAGAGGGGAGGGAGAGAGGTTATTAATATGACTTGGTGTTACTGGGCATGGCTGCAGTGGTTCCTCTTGTTATTGAAGAGCGGCGGCGAAACCCCAGGCTCTCATGTTTCATGTATTTTAAGTCTTTCCTTTCTTCAACATCTCCAACTCCTATGGTAGTCATATAGATAAGTACCTATTCTACTTCATGGGTGATAAAAGGTTGCTTTAAAGCATTGAACTTACGGGGAAAATTCAAGCTGAATTTAAGAGACACGCCGTCCTCATTTGTTTACATCCTTCAGCTGTGATGATGAGTGCCGTTCAAGCTGCACCAAATATTGCTGCTTTTGGCATGACACAATATATAGTAATATAAATATGTTAAAGTGGTAATAAAACTCCACATAATAACCATGAAAAGCTTTATATAACATTTATATATATATATTTGAACATGATTATGATTGCATTCTTGTAATTACAGTAATACAATATGGGCAGGATTATGGTCAGTAAAGTATACAAATATATTAAGAACTAACTATTTCATAAGTGGCTTTATATTCTTCTCAGTCTAAGAATGAGTTGAGGTAAGATAAAAACAAAAGGATTCTTTTAATTAACAAGTTACGCCCCGGGGTAAACTCAGTAGAAGATACGCGGTTAAGTACAACTTAGGGAACAACAATATGTTATTTAGCACCACTTAAATACGAGTAGTGTACCAGAAGTACATCTAAGTTATGGGGTACCAGGAAATGCGTAGATAAAAATAAAAGTAAGATGAGTCAGTTGGTGACTGACTAAATTCTGTCAGTGCGATTTGTGACTCGCTTGTGACCAGACCTATCTAACAGTTGGGCAATTCTTGTCAAGTAAACTAGTAATATGAGGCTAATATACAGTTTGCAAGAATATAAGTGCATGGTATAGATAATTTATGTATATCCTAACCTAATACGAAGCGAGGTAATATCATGATGTCTCCTGGAAATAAGCACATGACACCTTTTGTTGGCTATCCTTGGTCAAATTGCCTTTACTGTTTACCATTGCTGTTTTCTTGCACTGTCCTGGGCTCGGCACAGGGAACAGTACTTCCACGGCCTACGTGCACCTACATTATCACACCAGTGATTCCCAATTAGTTTTAACCATTACCCCAAAACAAATCTGACAACAATAATCACTACCCCGACATAGGTTTGTCAACTGTTTATTTCCTTACTATTTTTGGTTATTAGGTGGGAGAGAGGCAAGAGGTACCAACTCTGCCGTGTCCAGGACGTGTCTGATTCATGAATGACCAGTGGCTGTGTATGGAATAAAAAAAGCAGGAAAAATATGGCTATATCTCATGACCTGTCTTTACCCCGGAAAAATGTCAAATTTATAATTTACCCTTCATTGGGAACCACTGGTTTATCTCATGCTGAACTGTATAAATGCATATTATAATTATTATTATTTATATTTGACAATATCTAGACCAATCGTGCTCGAAATTAGAAGAAATACTTCAGCTCTAACGAAGACGCATCTGTTTTGCGATGATAAAGGTGAATGAGAAAGAACAAGATACTCAAAACTCCCCACAGTTACACGCTCAGCGACCTTGTAAACTTACGGTAGTCAAACTAACAATATTATAAGTCGCCCAAAATCAAAACTATTTTACAATTTTGTTATTGAGTATTGTAACTTAAATGTAAACATTGAGAGCTGGGTGCTGTATAGGAAAGGCAAAAGAGTATTCCCGTATTGCTCTAGGAGCCTGTAGACGTGAAGGTCATCACTACTACGCAAAATCATTTCAGAATGCGTGGTCAGAAGAATTAGAAGGTTGGCCAAATACTTAGGCTCACCAAACATTAGTGTCTTAAAAGTCATTAGACAGAGTTTGAACTCTATGCTTTTACTTTTGTTTTTATTCTCTTCGCCAATGATCGGGTCGTTCGCCGCTTGGGCGGAAGGTCACGCCTGTTACGCACTGTAGGCAAGTACTGAACATGCTTTAATTGGAAGCCAATGTAATTCGAAGACGAACTGGGTAGTAGGAACATTCGGTGGAAGAGCTACAGAGAGGTCTTACAACCTCACATCGAATTAAAGAGCTAACTGGGAGATACAACATTGTAAATACTTTTAAGTATCCGGTCCCAGTTTTAGCTCCTCTGTATAAGTATTATAGGGCGTAGCTTTTGTTGAAAGTTTTCTTGGAAAATATCTTGTCCTCCATCAAGTCGTTTTATCATTGTGATTGTGTATCTTATGAACTCATTAAAAACTAAGAAGAACCTATAATGTATATATGCTGTATAAATATATACTGTATACAAAAATTTTATTTAGGCGACTTCACAGTTACTCTATTACATGAATATCTACATATTTTTATCGACTTGCTTTCAAGTGTAAATAAAAAATATATAGTATTCACTAAATATTTAGAAAGTTGATATATTTAATAAATGAAAATATAAAAAGAAGGAAAAATATAACTTGAACGTGATGATGAAACACAGGACAAAAGCTGCCTAACAACAAACACCAGGGCTCGGGTGGTCTCCTCCCCTTCAAATAGTAAGAGTTTACCATTTGAAGCTCTTCTTGAATTATTCTACATCTAAAATGATTACAAAAAATAATTCCAGCTTAAATTCACTATACTACCATGAATAAACTGCAGGAGACACGTACGGTGCCTTAATCACCTGTCTCCATTATCTCTGATGCACACTCTGTTAATGGCAGGACGGACAGGTCAATTATATTACTGCAGTAACCCTCAACCTTCTGACAAAGGGAGTGGTGGAGATTTTTTCAAATTAATTGTGATTGATAGAACTGTTGAAACAATAGTGTATACACACTATATACGACCAGGAAATTCACCCAGGCAAAAATTACTCCTATCTCAAGTATATGTAAATTTAATGATTTATTTTGCCATTTTGTTTACAGTACTGGAGGGGGTAGAGGGGGGTAATACTGGAAGACGGTATCACACTAAACCACTAAGTACATAGTAATAAAAACTGTACAACAATGCACTGAACCGAATAGAACCTGACCTAACCAACCAAAGATACCCACCAAACCTTACCTAACTCCGGTTAATATACTGTATAGGACTAACCCGCCAGGGCCTCATAGCGGAGATGTGGCCGTATCATCTCACGTCCAGAAAATGCCTCAAATTTCACCATATCATATTAAGTTCTTTCTGTTTAATATACCGGGGAAGTTAGGTAAGGTTAGGTAGTTTTGTTTGGTTGGTTGGTTAGGTCTTCTGTTCTTCATACCCACAAATGTTAAGTAGCGTTTATTTTAAAAATATCCATTTTTTAACTACTCCATAAACTACAAAAGTCTCCACGATAATACTGTATAACAATGAAAATCCGGCATTTTTAAAATTGTTTTCAATCAATTTCGCTCGCGAGTTAGTCCTATATAATTACCCCTAACTCTTACCTGGATTATTAAGCAGAAAGAATATTCTTTGGTATTTGGTACCAATGAGAGCAAATTTCTTGAAGCTACCTGGTGTAAGTTTACTTTTTTCTTTTTTTTCTTTTTTTTACACGTGAGAGTACAATCGGTTACTGGAACAAACTAAGAGTGGACAACAACACACATCCACACAGTAGATTTTTTGGCGGAATTTTTATGGTAAATAATTAATTTCTTCGCATACAAAGTACGTAGACATCATTTTAGTGTCATATCAGTTTTTCGGGGTGTTTTATCCTCCAATTTCCCAGATCCTTCATGCACTGCCCACTACAAGTGATTTATGACTGTGAAGAGAGAAAAACTTAATGTTGGGATGTGTTGATTAGTTCTGTAGCCTGTTTGATGTGATCAGTGCTGGAGCTGTGCTGAAGTTAGCTCAGTTGCAAGGGTCAGAAGTGAATGGCAGAAGTGTCGGTGTACTGTACTGTATAATCAGCATGAGAAGTGTATGTTGTATGGTGGTAAAACATTGAGCAAGCTGAAATGAGAATGGTGATGATGGATGTGTAATGTGCAAATGAAAGATAGGAACCGTGTTGAGAGCTGAAAGGGTGTCTGGGTAGTGGGTGAGTCTTGGTGAGGTTTTGCATAGATGTTGGCTGAGATCATATAGGCATGTGGAGATGATAGTGGAGATCAACTGGAAAAAACATTTGTAACAAGAACAGGCCAACCATCCAGGCGGCCAGTAAGCTGAGGTGTAGAATAATGATGGTGATAAAAAAAGGGAGAGAAAGAGAGAGATGCATGAGTCTCATTGTGGAGGGGAGGGGAGGAGAGCTTGGGGTAGGCCAAGAATGACACGGGGTAGAAGTTATAATATCCTCAGAGAATGAGAGGCTGTAAGAGAGAGTGCAACCTGGAGAGCTGCCATTGGTTAATCACAGTGAACCCAAATAAGTGTGGAAAATGGTCTTAAAATAAGTGAATGTTGAAATCCTGAATATCATCAGTTAATCGTAAAGTAAAGAAGGTTAGAGTAAGTTTACCATGATATTGTGTTTACCATAAGATTATTATTGTATCATATAAATTGAGCTGTCTGTCTGGTTTTATGCTATTTATGGGTAAGAATAATACTACTGTACTAATTAATGTAAAACAAAAATAATGAATCTGTTTCATTATTTTGATGTTTGAGCCTTAAAACTTTTTTTAATGCCTAACTTCCCACACTCCCACTTAATTTCATTAACTGCATAAAACAAACATATCAGTGAAGACCCAATCAAAAACTTCCAAGAAATAATGGTAATCATCTCTTTAGTCTTTAACATGCATGTTATAATGTACTGTACTACCTTTAATTTTTAATAAAGAAAAACAATCAAAATAAATCTCTCATGGTAATCTAACAATTTCTAGAAAATAGACATTGTTAAGAAGGGGACATCTGTTTAAATAAATGATGTCATGTTCTTTTTAAAATGTAATATTTATTCGTGATTTGGAAAATGTTTCATTCTTTACAGTGTACTTAAACTGTAGACAATGACAGAGCCTGTTAAAGCAGCTAAAGGTCTACCACAACACAAAAATGCCTTTAAAGGTCAAAGGCCAAAACAAGAGGAGTCCATTAGAAATCTCAAAGATGTGACAAAGAGAACAGTTGCCCCTTCTGCTGAGGTCGAGTCATTGCTTTCGGAGTTGGTCAACACAGTTGGAGCGGTTCTTACATCAAGACCAACACATGTTTGGCAGGTAGGTTTGTTTAAAGATAATTTTAATTCATTAGCTGTCTTGGGGGGTTATGTCATGAAGGATACATCACCTACTGCCCTCAACAGTACTCAAAATATTCTTTATGTATACTGTAGGTTGAGCTTACTGGTGAGGTACTACACTCTGCTTGTACAGTACCAGTGGACATTGTGGCCAGGAAAAACAGGGACCAAAGTGCTGTATTAGCCCAAAGATTGCTTTATTGCACATATTGATTCATGGTGGTCCACGGGTCATGAGAAATGGACTGCTAAATTTGTTTCCATATTTCATCTTTTGTTGATTTTCTTCTGTATATTGTATTCTGACTACCTGTACTTGTATATGGTTTAGGTTGCTTTTTTATCCTGTTCACATTGACTATGACTTGATGTTCTAGCCGAGGGTATATATTCTTTCACAAAATTTTACCTCTTCGCCATAGTATGTATCTCATACATATGAGTAACTCATCATTTGAAATTCACTACAAAATGTGCAGAGTTTTTCACTTTTCATCACGTGTAAGTATATTTTTGCTTACATCAATCCCATCCTTGACAATTTTTTATTTTGTGATATATTTGTTATTGATAAAATCATTGCTTAATTTTGCCTTTGTTTTGAAGTAATATGTGGCAAGCTTTCTAGCTGATTACAGTCCAGTAATATGCAGTCAGTTGTGTGAAGGAAGGGGGAAGAGTTTTGATTAATTATGCCCTAACCCTTACCTATTTTATCCTTGCCTTAACAGGTCATTGTGCAACCTCCCTTCCAGTTCTAACAGTGGGTAGGCCAAGTTTCTGAGCTTCTGGTTATGAGGAGGGAAGATGATTTATTTTTTCATCACTCTCATAGGCCAAGCCTGAAGTTTGTATCAAAGAAACCTACTCCTAGTTTTATGCCTGAATGTATTTGTCACTTGTTATGGAGACTTGGGAGATAACTCTTATGATTAACTTGGTCTGGTGATGGTAGTTGATAATTATTTTTAGGTTCTAGGAAATCTTCATTATTAAGGCTGTTTAGCTCACACAGTTAAACAATGTTCCTCTACTCTTGACCATAGAGGTTTAACATCCTGATTGTCGTTTGATGAGCAGGTAAGGTTTGTGCTGTACCTTTCAATACAGCTATAGCACATTGAACCTTTTGTTCTTGAAATATCATTTTATAGCCATGTTTAGTTTCAATGACTCAGATTTCCTCCCTCCTCCCTTGGGGATACTTAAGTGAACGTGATGCTGAAGTGGTTGATCCAGATTTGTCGTGTTGTAGCCAATGTATGATTGTGGAGAATGGTGCTGAAGACTCTCAGCATTTAATCTTGAATAGTAGCTGATGCCCCACAATACTGTAGCCCCTTCTGGGACTATGGTTGTGTGGGGAAGGATTAACTAATTTTGGAAAGTTTTCAGGCTTTTTCAAACTTGTTCTGAATTGACTCCGGTGTCACATACCAAGGCCCTGAGATCAAGGTTTTTAACCCATTAGAGTGTTGACTGAACTAAAGCTTTCAGAAACAATCCCTCTTTCATCTTCACTCTTCTACTTTTGTTAGTGTAGATCAAGAGATTGAGAAGCCTCAAACAAAGCAAAGGGAGGAAGTGACAGAGGTGATAGTGGAAGACAAAAATATAAACCACAGGAAATGGATTTGACAATCTGCATATGTAGTATACACATTAAGTCCTGAGGCTCCCCCATGATTTATCTTATACAGTATTAACAAAATATATTTCCTAAATAATAAGCATTTATGTCTAATGTTGGCCATTTATGACTTGTAATGGTTAAGGATGTTTCTTGAAAATGCAGTATTGGACTGAAGGCAAATAATATACAGTAAATGGATTGATAAACAGGAGAATGGAAGCTGGAGTAAAAAAAAATAAAGTAAAGAACTTTTAAATAAAGGAATACAGTTATGGAATCATGTTTCCTTTTGTTTTCACTTTTTTTGTATCTTTATTTGGACCCATTATAAACTCTATAGGGAGCTAAAAGTTTGAGAGACATCCTCACTGCTATGTGAATAAACATAAACTGATGCCAAGTGGCCATGCCAGGCCAAACCTACAATAGTCCAGATCAGAGGAGCCCTGATTAGTGAGGGTTAATTATAATAAATTACATAGTTAACCTTTTTATATTTTGTATAAATGTTCTCCCCCAATTAATTAAGAAACAATGGTAACATGATATTTTATCTGTATTTTTTTCACAGGTGTATGGAGGGTTCCAGCGTATATATGATGCTATTCAACGCATTTTCTACCATGGGTGTAAACACATAGATGTGCGGGTGAGTTGACTCTTAATTCTTCAGCTTGTGCTAATTTATTACAGTACTGTATCGTGAGTATCAGAATCCAGATACACTACCGTATTGTGTTTTTCATCCTTGATGTAAAACGGACTTTTGGGTCTATTGTATAACCCTTCCCCTCAGAGATTGTCCATTAGATCAAGGGTTCACTGTACACTGGGTAATTCTTTTTTCTTCATAAAAATGCTTTGGAGGGGACATTACATTACTTAGCTCAGTGTTAAGGCTGTACATAATAAATACAGGATGAACAAAACAGTCAAATTAACAAATACAATAGAGAATACTGAAATGCTGTAAAAACTGATGACTTTGTACAGTATTAAACAAAAATAAGATTGGAATACTGTGTACTGTTTTTATTTCATTTTCTTGTAAATACAGACATGTAGGGGGTGGTAAGTAACTGGTGCATAACCTCATTCATTGGTGAGTGTAGGGAGGGAAGGAGTTGGCAGTGATTCACAGCTGTGTACACATGAACCAGTACAGTATCATATTGGGTTGCATAAAGTAAACCAAGTACAGTAATGTATATCCCAAGCTGGTCCTTATAAAGCTGATGAACAAGAGCAAAATGTACTACAGTATGGACTGAAATTTTTTTTACATTAGTCACTGAACTGACTTGTCATTTGCTGCAGGTGTTGTATATATTGTGGAAATTTGCATGTGTGGCTTTTGATCTATTTTACACAAGTATGGTACAGTATTTTAAATTGATGAGGATGTTGAGGGATATATATTCACTTATTTCAGTGCATGATACTGTACAGTATTTGCATTTGGTTTGTGATTCTGTGTAACATCTACCAAATCCTTTAACTAATGCCCTTGAAATTCTAAAAACTCAGTAATTGTCATTATGAAAGTGAGTAATTTGGATCTATAAAACCCTATATTATTCCTGTCCGTCCTTTACAGGGTAATGCAGATTTATGGCCATTTGTGGTTGGTCTACGGGTTCTCAACCCGACACTTGGGCCCTGTGTGAAGATGACGACAACGCCCCAGCCTGCTGATGAATGGATTCGTATGTCTTTACAAAATCTTCAACTGGCAGCTAAAGTTAAAGCACTTACATCTGATAGGTACAGTACTCAATTTAAGCATATTTTGTTCACTGAAACTATATCCATATACCCACGTTCTTTTCCAGTTAGAAGTAACTTAAGTACTTCCTTGTTTGGCTTTAGCTTTCCTTTCTCCTGTGTGGACATTCATATGAAATATAACCTGCTTTGGCTATGGCATTTTTCTACCCATCTGTTAGTTAGTTCTTGGTGTTGAATACTGTATATAAAATTTGGTTAACATCTTTCTGTAGTTCTTGTGTATTTGGCTTCTTGCTTCAAAATTTTATTATTTGTGTTTTTTCTAATATCCAGTCTTTATTTGCAGAGACCATGTTAAGAAACATTTTCATCCATGGGCATTGATGCGATCACAGGAGCATACCTCAGCCATTATAACTTGCCTTCGAGCTCTTGAAGAGAACTCACAGTCTGTCTTAGCTGACATAAATCCAAAGTTGGTTAGTGAATTGCATCACAAGATATTTAGTGGAAAGGGTTAAATTGTTGTAACTTGAGAACATCAGTTATTTTTATTTTCTTCATACTAGTGCTGGTAGTTCTCCTATGGACACAATGTTGTATGGCTCTCCCAAATCCAACTCCTTATGTATTATGACAGTTTGGGAAGATTGTTTGTGGTCAGATACCTCCGTGCCATTTTTCTTGTTTAATCATCGTCTGATCAATTTGGTACAGGTGATTGTAGTTTTTTCTCACAGTCACCGGGGGTGGGAGGGGAAGCATCACCTAATATCCCAACTTCAGTGATGATTAAGGCCAAAACAACGAGAATATAAAGTGCATACACAAACAGATTAATCATATCAGCGTAGATAAACAAATCAACGTGCACATTATATTTCATTTTTAATCTTGCCAGTTGTTTTCTGTTATGCTGAAGGCTGATGAGATAGAGAGCAAAACACAGACTCATTCTTCATTACCTTACAGTACAGTACTCTTAAAGTGCTGTGACATACCTATGAAGTTTTTGATGCCTTACTGGGTGTCCATCTCTCACTTCTAGACTAGTATTTGCTTCATCCATCATCTTCAACTTAAGTCCTTTTCTCTTCCTTGCTCTCCCATCTAATATCTACTTCTGAATATACAGTATAGTCTGCATTTACGCGGATTTTGTTTACGCGTTTGGTCATTTACGCGGTGCCTTGCCAGAATGAAAATGCTTTAATTACGCGGTAAATTTGGTCATTTACGCAGCGAGTGGCTGGAGAGGTCCAGACCGCCGCGACATTTTTTACCCACGAAGTCCATTCTTGACCATACTCGGGAAGCGGCGCGGTGAGTTGTGCGCATTAGGCCGCTCTTGCGTTATCGCTGACGTCATATGACGTATCGGCTGTGATTGGGCCACGCATCCTTATCACCCACGCATTCCCTCCGCCGCTAGCTGTGATTGGTCTAATGTAACATGACGTGCCCTGCCACCAGAGGGTAGAAGTCGCTGACGTAGCAGGGCCCCTCTCATTGTTCTCAGTCCGCGTATACAGTTCTCTCTTGTGCCCGCTATTCCCCTCACAATTCACAATGGCTTCCGCGGGACCCCCACCACCCGAGAAAAACATTGAATTACCTGGACCAAGCCATGATAATGTGAAGGAAATCATCGAGTTGGGGGAGAAACATAAGCTCATCCTTGACAACGACCCAGACAAGCATCGGTATGAAGCGTCTAATAACCATCTGACGAAAGTTATGGAGTCGTATATCCAGATCTATCTCGACAACATCAATGCTAGTCGTCAAGGTAGTATTGAGGACTTCCTCGCCCGCAACCCACCACAACGATAGCCAGCCCAAGTCAGTGATAGTGATATGGACTTTGAGAGGTTTGTCTGGGAGGCCCTGCAAACCTCTGCGAGTAGTGAAAGTGATTCACTGGAGGGCAACTAATCTGCCCACTGCCTCGGAACGAGCCGCCATCCACGTGTGCCGACCCAGCTTTTCTACTAACGTAAGTGTTAAAAAACCTAATATTATTGATATTTCTCTTAATTATTAATTGTGTGTGCATACCATCATAAAATTAAGATGTTATTTTTACTACAACGTACGTATTGTGTCGGAAAAAGTGGAGTTTGGGGGTCGGCCCAGTCTCTTATTTCAATTAATCCCATATGTTCTGTTATTTCATTTACGCGTTTCTCGTTTTACGCGGGCCTCCACGGGTTCAATTGACCGCGTAAATGCAGACTATACTGTACAGTCTTTATGCAGGTTATTTACTCCCCATACAGTACTCTAAATATACCCACTCCACCTAAACAATATCTAAATGATTATACTGTATCTTATCCTCTGCAACCTAATTATCCCAAATATTATTCTCAAGTTTGTCATTTCAGTTATTCCTAATGTTTTCCTTCCTCTTAATCCCTTAATCCAGAGCCCATGCATCACTTTCACATTAGTTCAATGAATCCTCTATACATTCCCAACTTTGACTCCTGTGACCCAGTTCTCTATCCATACTTTTGTAAATATATCTTTAACTGTAGTTCAAATTTATTAATCTGTTCCATTCATTGACACATTCACTCAAAGATGTCTGAACCACTTTTCCGTCTCATATTTATTTATTTTTTTCATCACTTGACTTTTATTCATATTCACTGTTAACTTTCTCCTAGTACACATTCACTAAGATTATTAACTTTTCTTCTAAATCACCCACCAGCAGCTGCCACACCTCCCATTTGCATCCTGTATTCCTATAAAGTACTGTATAACAAACTTGTTTCCTTCCCCATCACTCTCTTCTTACATATCTCTCACTACCCCATCTGTGATTATATTGAACAGCTGTGGTGACATTACATGCACATGCATGCACACAGGTGTGTGTGTGTGTGTGTGTGTGTGTGTTTTCATGGGTGAGTGAGTGAGTGTGCGAGAGTAGGGTTATTAGTCCTACACCTCGTGGACTGTTGATATGAGACATGCAATTCTCTCATATTATATATATTATATATATATACATGTATATATATATATATATATATATATATATATATATATATATATATATATATATATATATATATATATATATATATATATATATATATATATATATATATATATATATATATATATATACACGTACTTCTCATTTTCTCATCCATTCTCATTAGCAAGCTCCAGGCCAGCTATCTACCGTATGTGACATCATCACCATTTTATGGCCATTTTCTTTGTTTAAGGGTTAACCATGATTACCTGATGGCAAAATTCAAGCAAGTATTATGACTGGATACACCTCCTATTGCCAACCCATTTTTAGAGTGGTAACTGGACGTTACATGTAGGACTTCCACGTGCCCTTTTAGCTGCCATGGCAGGGTCTGTCTAATACTTCTTTCAGATCTATACCCCCTTATATCTGTATTTCTTGTTTACTACACCCAATCCATTTGTTATGTAGTATTGCTGTGAAGAAAAATATTTCAACATTTCTAAAATTAATTTTCTGTTTTTTCCTCTTGCATCCAAGTCACTTTGTAATGCCTAAACACAAATATAGTATTTTTAAGCAGATTAGGAGTATGAACATTTTATTTAATACATTTAAGAAATAAATTCCTCATTGCAATAGACTACTGTATATGTACATGTATTAAGAGAGAGATCAGGTCAAGTAAGGTGAAAAGTAGATTTTAGGGTGAATTATTATCATTTGCATAATATTCCTTTTAATTTTGCCTTGGTTTAACTCTTTATTTCAGTATATTGTACATTGATCTTTTGCACAACTGATAATCTCACAAGTGCCTAATTTTAATACTTGCAGCTTGTAGGGACATATCAACCACCACCTGGCACTACGTATACAGCGAAGACTGAACCTGCCAACTCTGAGAGATTACGAACCAAACCACTTCTTTGGGATGCAAAATCATCTGGCGTGACAAGTAAATTTGGGTTTGATAAAAAGTCCACTTCATCTCTACCCACCAGTCCGGTGACAGATAAGGAATGGCCAGCAGTATGGTCACATTCTAGTACCCAGAAAGGAAATTTGAATAGAGAGTTTTTAAAAGATTCATTGGCTCCAAGCAGCCCTTCTCGTTTAAATGCTGTGGAATCCTGTAAGAGTAAAGAGATGCATAGTAAAGTCAAGGGCCAAAGTACTGTGCTGTCAAATGAGGGAAAATCAAAAGATTCCATAGATACCACAAAGCCCCTGAAAGTGAATGATTTGAAAACCCAAGACGTCACGCTTATGCCACGAGAGAGCCCAGATGGCAGTTCCGATAGTTCAGACTGGCCTGCAACAAGTCCTGTTAATCAGTCTCCCATTTTTATAGCAAATGAAACTTCCCAAGTATCCAGTAATGCAGCTCTTACAACAATATCAAAACTAGTGCATGGGAAAAATATCCATGTTATAACAAATGAAACTGGAGCCAGACCAAAGGAATTCTCTACTACCCCTAAGCCAATTATTCAACCAGTTATTAATAAGGAATTTTTGGATATAAGTGATAGTTGTAGTGGACCAGGGAGTAGTATTTCTCCTAGCCTCTTGCAGGTTAACTATGGAGGTGAATACTCCACCAGTGATGGGGACAGTAGCTCAGCTTATAGCATCCACAGACCAAAAGGATGCACAGGGTTCAGAACTCCACAGTTACGAAGTAGGGCTAGTAGTGGTAGACTGGCGTCAGTACCTGCAGATAGTGACCCAGATAGTGAAGACACTGTAGATGGGAATTCTCAGGCTTCTCGGAGAAGGAGGCGACCCCCACCACTTCAACAGTCCTCTGTCAAGATATTAGTAGATAGTCGAGGTGTTTTAAAGTCTGAAGGAGGTAATCTTCAAAACAATTCAAGTGATTGTGTAAGAAATATTTCTGTCTCAAATTCGTCTTCAGTTGATCATCTTACCAATGTTGTACCTGTAACATCAGGGCTACCACTGACCAGTGATTTTCCAGTACCCTCTACTACCTCTGATATATCAGGAAGTAACCTTCCACATGTTATGTCAACACCAGTGGTTGCTAAAATTCCCCCTGAGTTTATGGAAGATGTAGCATTAAGTGCTCCTGAGAGAATTTTAAAACCAAATTTGTTATTAACTGAAGCAGCTAAAACAAATAAAAAAACTCACAGTCGCTCTCGGTCAGATGGATCCCAAGAGTTGATTGGCAAATTACGGTTATCACAGTCTAACACTGCTCCTGAGTTAGAATCTAAGATGAAATCAGGAAAACTAGAAGTGTCCCAAAGAGTGACTGGTGCGAGTGCACCAATTCCAGTACGTAAACGTTTTATGGAAGATGGGGGACACAGCATAACACCAGCAGCTGACTATGGATTCTTCCCACGTCCTCAGCCAGGACAGAGCCTCATAGGATTCCTCTCATCAAAAGAGTTTCACAAGCAGTATGCTGATCTTGACAGAGAAAATGCTCATTTTAACATATCTGAAGCTGTGATTGCTGCATTAACTCAGGTATGGTTCATATTAAGCTGTAGAGTATAGGAGATAAAAGTTAAGCCTACACACTCCAGGTTGGTGCAACATTCTATTTTTTATACCAGAAAGGCATAGATTTAAAACTAATTATTCTGTGTGTGTACATATTTGTGCAAGCATGTATGTGCACATTTGTTTGGTTTAATAAAGGCCACATTATGGTAAGGTCTGTTTCCAGTGTATCACTTTTACATCAAAATGGGTGTTTTTGTTAAACTTCACATGCTTGACAAAGTGCAGAATATTAAATTTAAGTATGTATCAAAGGTTGAGATGACTCAATCCACATCCAAAGACTATTAGGGATCTAAAACTCAGGGAAGGGAATCTCATCCCTCTTTTGCTTGCCTTCTCTGATTCACAAGGCATATGGAGGACCAATTACTCAAAATTTCATATGCTTTTGTTTTCAGATTTAAACTATGTATTTAGGATTTTATGAAGACTCTTAATTCAGTATATAATTTTGTATTCAGATGCAGTTTGATTCCTGGCAACAAAATTATTGTTCAAGTCCGGGAACAGCTGATGATAGTGATGAAGAGATTCGCAATCTACAGGCTCAGATTAGAGAGAAAAGAAAACAAAAATTATCAGGCTCTGTACAATCAACATCAGTTTCAACCACCACAGTAATTGAATCAACCTCTGATCCTCAGACTTGGGCCTGCAACTCTCCAGTAAAGTTAGAGAGTAAGAGCACCTTCACTCTTTTTGAAGGGTTTCAGTTTTAGCTAGTTATGTCACCAAATTATCAGATATAGTGTTACTCAATGTACTTATCTCAGTTATGTGACTTTCTTTTATAAGATTTTTAGTTTCATATGTAAAGATTATTAGACTTCTCTTGTAAAGACAATGGTTACAAATTTGGACATAGGTAGGAAAGGTATTAGCATGTGTACATATGTATTTTGTTGAAAATTTTTCAGGTACAACAGATTACAGTGTATATGAGTCAACACAGAGCTCCCCTTATAATAGTGAGTCAGATTTGATCTCAGAGATGGAGGAGGAGGCCACAGGGAATGATGGATCATCAAGCTGTGAAGGTGAGGATATTCTCGCTAATTTTGCCATTTATTAAATCAATTTTCTGCCAGTAACACAAAGGGCTAAGGTGTCATTTCTTTGTAAAGAGAATGGAAATTCATGAAAATAAAAGTTTTTTCTGGTCATCACCAAAGAGGTAAGGTCAATTCCATGACACACTGGTTTGATTCTGTGATCACCCTTGGTTGGAGAACTTGATTATCTTTGCTTTGCTCAAAACTATCACTTTATCAATGAATCCTAATATGGCTAGCTTTCTCTCCTAGGGATTGCATCTGTAGATGCTCCTATATGTGTATAATGTTATGGCAAATGGCAGTATTCATTATCTGTTACCATTTTGGTGTCTTTATGGTGACTGTTCTACACACCACACCATCCTCAAGCTTAACTATGAAGTTACAGTAGGGACAAACAAAAACATTCATTTTAGATAATGGGTCAAATGACAAGTTCTTTGCAGACATAATAAGGGGGTCCCCTGATTATGAACGGGTTCTGTTCCTGAGGACGTTCTTAAGTCAGATTTGTACCTAAGTCAGAACACATGCTGCATACCGTACTTGCATAATAATGTTTAGAATCCCACTATAGCATAGCCTTAGTCTTTATATACATCTAAAATCACTTAATTTAAGAGAAAAGTAGAAATATAATGACAAAATACAGTAAATGAAAGTAAAAAATAAGCCATCAGGTAAATAAAATACAGTACTGTAAATTTCAAGTTTAACCCATTCATATCGGCAGGCGTTCGTAAGTCGGGGACCCCCTTTTATGAGATGCTCCAAGTGAGAAGTAGACCAAGTGACAAAAGTGAAAAAAAAATGCAGTTAAAGTTTTAAAAATTTTGAAATAAGGATAATTGTGTGATAAAACACAACTCAAAGTTACTTGTCTTGTTCTCGCCAGGAGTGCCTCATACGTCAGTGTCATGCACTGTACTGTAATCTGTACGGTCCTTAGGTTCTAGTACATTGGAAGTGGAAATGAGTCCCATAGGTTTGTTGTGCTATTAAAGTCAGTGTGAATACAGCACCCTGAATACAAAGTTTGTACACCAATGATATATACAAGGAGAGAGTGTTATTGCCACTGCATGTGACTTCATTTAGTACCCCAGCAGCAAGGTTAGGTACCCATATGTATCTTGTGGACATGGGATACCCTAAGCACACACCAGGGACCTTTAGGACAGGAGGCAAGTTCTATATTCACTCTTTTGTTGAATTTACTAGATGGAACCAGTAAAGAATGAAAAGAAAAATTGAAGCATTAAAGTTTGCTTTCTTCTTGTGAGCTATGAGAACAAGTTTTACACTTTCTCAAAGACCTTTGGAGATATTTAAGAGTAATATGTGGGGAATTCATTAGGAAAAGGGGAATTACCTTTAGCTGTTCATCTTAATGTAGGACACATTTCCCTATAATCTGCCTGTAGGAGATGCCAGAAACAAAAAATCTTATTCATTTAATTTACTTCTGACTCAAGAGTGCAGTAGAGTATATCCTGTATGTTTACTTTTTTTCAACATTATATTTCAAGAGCTTTATTTAACCTTATAAATAAGTACTGATTTTTTCCACAAAACCCGACCAACAGAGACTCCAATCTTACGATCAAGGAGTACTTCAAATAGTGGAGAGTTGTCCTTCAAGAGTGACATAACATCTGCAGAAAATGTGGCCCTAAACCTGCTGAAACATTTCAACGAACGGAGGCTTCCCAAAGCCTGTGAACTGGAGTGGCTAGTGTCTGAACAGGATGTCCCACAAAAGGTGAACTCCCTATACGTGTTATTATATCACTGTTACCTGTTCATTACATTATCACTACTATATACTGTACAGTACTGTACTTTTTTTTATTAACCCTAAAAATGATGGTGAATTTTTACTTAGACTACGGTATTTGCTTGACAAGGAAAGATGAGGGTTTAAAATTTTTTTAGAATTTTAAAGTTTTCTTGTGAAAAGGACAAGATTTGTTCATTGAAAATGGTGTTGTAATCCCTCCCATAAACAATGGGAGGGAAGAAACTGTGTATGTGACCAGGTGGGAGGATTGTTGCCGTGCGCCCCACCTTTGGACCTGTTTTTATTACCGGTTCATTATTATATTCTCATATGATCAGTCTCCCGCAGTGCATGCTTCATCATAAATAATATAACATGATCCGTAATAGAAAAAAATACATTGCCGGGATATAATTTGTAATTTGACCTGAGAATAACCAAATAAGTTGTATCATAAAGTACCACTTTCTTGAGCCCCTCATTCCCTCTCTCCCTCCCACAACATTTAAAGCTAATGAAAATTTTCAATATGGCAGAAATCCTTTTATTATGATGAAAAATAAAATGAAACAAGGTACCAAGATGAAAATAATTACACTCTGTACAGTATTTTGTTTTTCATAATTTTAATTTTACAGTACAGTATATTGGTGCGAGACCGAGACTTGATAGGGCTGGACTTACAAGGAATGCGGACTTGTATCTTGACAATGCCGTTGTTTTCTGTCCCTTTCCAAACACAGGTATCCTCAGATGGCTGTATCTCTCCCAGTGACCACCATAAAGAACAGGTTTATGGGCATGGGGCATCAACGTCGATAGGGCGAAAACAAACGAAAGATGATTCTCGGAGGTGTTGTACTATTGTTTTACCACAATGATTTTTGCGGTCCAAATCAGTGCCACTACTACAGTCTCCTGCATGACAAACACCTTATGCAACATACTGTATAGAGAAGCACTTCTACCTCTCTTTCCTTGTCTCTACGCTGATAACTAATTTATCAGCGTGACTATTGCTGAAGTTCACACGAGCTATCATTTCTGAATTTACTCGACAACTCTACCAGTTCTTGAAGTTCGCCCTCAGTCTTTGGTTCCCATCGTATTTTACTGTACAGTACAGTACTTTTTTCTGGTTGTCAAGACAGCTCTACTGTGGTGAGAGGTCTTTCCGTGCTACATGTCACTCGAAATAACAGATACTCCTCCATGATGACAAAAAGTGTTACTCGTACAGGGAGGAACTAACAGAGAGAAAGAAAAGTTGCCACCTGTTACAATAATTCACTCAAGCCAAAATAAGGCACCAAACTTTAAAAAATATGACACAGAAAGATCCAAATTATAGCTGTTCATTGTCATTGCAGGACAAAAGGCACTTATTATGTACAGTATTGATAATTTCATTGGTTTAAATTGTCATGGGAATATATCAATACTTCATTATTGCTGAATTGCATTCAACTGATACATATTTAAACATTTCAACCACTCAATACCTGTACTACTAACCATATTTATTCTTTTTTAATCCCTCAAATGTTTTCACTCGAAGATAATCTGATACTGTACTTAATAATTAAACAGTAATTATGCCCTGTTAAATGTACTAATTTTCTTTGTCTGGGGGTAGCTGTTACCTTTACCAACAAGTGTAGCAATTAGTCCTGATGATGGCGGGGCAACTAAGGAATCCCAGTTACAAACTCAACTGCGTGGAACTTCTGACTGGGCTCCACCCCGTCCCCAGCTTATTCTTACTCTCCACGCCAACACTAAGTAAGGAACGGCTGTAATATTCCTACATATATTAATACTGCATTCTGAAAAGTATGTAACTGAGATATACAGTTTGGGTTTTACACTAATACAAACTATTTTATAATCTCCAAAGTTTATGGGTATGATCATCTAGGCAAATCTAATCACCTCTCTTCCAATGAGGTCACTGTGCTGGGGTTTCTAAACATCTATAGTTATAGTTGTATAATAATAAAATTGGTAACAGTCACTAAATTTGAAGTAAATGATCAGCTGATTACACTTAGTCTCAGCCTTAAAAGAAAGCTCAGGGTGAAAACTAGTTTATTTGCAGGTGAGCTTAGTTGTTTTCAGACAGTTTTTGTTATATTTATTTTTTTTTTACTTCCTTTTTATCTTATAGACGCTCTGTGTTGATGGGGACTCAAGGGTGGCGATGTGCTGGCTGCGGAATGAGAGTATCAGAGAGTCTCAGCAGGCACTTCAGGCTCTGCAACTACCTAGGCCGGTACTTTTGTACTACTTGCCACAGTAACCAGACAGCTATGATTCCTGCCAAAATTCTTCATAAATGGGACTTCAAATTGTAAGACAACTTTGTGTATTGCTTTAATGTAAAGTATATCACTGTGTGTCTTCATTATTTTCATTTTTCCGTATGTAGAATCAGATTTTTAATCTTAATTTTTCACATACTGTTCTTTGCTATACCACTATACTTTACATTTTAAAATAGTATAATTATGTAATTATTAAATGTATAACTCATCATATTTGATATTTTATAATAATTTTTTTTTTTTACCTCAAAACAGTAAATAATTTAATTTAATGAAATTCTCTCCTGCAGATGCCCTGTTGCTAATTTTTCTTCTGAACTAATAAAAAGTATGAGGAGTGATCCCCTATTTAATGTTGATGCGCTCAACCCTGGGTTGTACAAGCGATGCAGACATCTTCACCAGACATATATCTACCGACTACAGCTGTACCACACACTGCCATACATCAACACTTGCAGCAGAGCCGAAAAGTAATGCAAATTCCAAATTTTTGTGTTGAAGTGATCCATCTGTCTCTGTAATTACCTAATTCAGGCATGTCTCACAGTATAGGTAGTGTATCATTAACTCTGACAATGTTCTGGTTTGCGTTCTCTGCCTATAGAAAGAGTTTAAAAAGAGTCGAAAGTGGCTGGAGGAATTTTAGGGAGCTGCTGGCAAGAGAACCGTCCCTTCATGTAAAAGGAAATCTATACAACTGGTGTGAGAAGTGTGATGTCTTATGGCAGTGAAACATTGATGGTCAAAGAGGATGACATATGCAAGCTTGAATGAGTTGAGATGAGGATGAGGAGGTAGATGTGCAATGTGACACTAAAAGATAGGAAGCCTGATCAGAGCTAAGTGGGTGGCTGTGTATTATTGAGAATATTGGCAAAATGTTGTGGAAAAGTAGACAGAGATAATTTAGGCATGAGAGAGAATGGATGAGACTAATTGGGTCAAGAGGTGCATGATTCTAAATGTGAAGGGGAGGAGAGCCAGGAGTAGGCCAAGAGAGGCAACTTGAGGAAAGGTGGTAAGAAATCACATTAGAGTTAGGAACTTAACAAGTTAGGATATTTTATTAAAATTATATTATGCTTCTGATATTTTTTAATGTAACTTGAACTTATCATGCTACCTTATAATGGAAACACTTAGAATAGAAAGAAATAATGTTGAGATGGCATTTATGATTATTTGGTTTTGTAATCCAATTCTTATTACAGGGAAAAGAGGATGCTAAGTAAGGCACCTCCACACTGGGCTGCAGAACCTCACGCTTACTCTCTGGATGATCTCATATCGGTCAAAGCTGGTTTGCTAATGATAGAAATGAAGAATATTGCCTCACAATGTATAGTTCATATTGCTAAATGTCAGGTGAGTGTAGTTGTATAATTTTTTTTTAAATTAAACAGAAAACATATGAGACAAGAATTAAAATTTATTAGTGTGTGAAAAAAGCTCATTTGGTGAATTTTCATTTAACGACACCCATTTTTCCCTTTGGATCTCGTGTTAAAAGCTGAGATGTATTCCAGCCTTTTTTTTTTTTTTTTTTAACACCCCATGATATAAATTTTGATGTGCTCCAGCCCAAAGAATTTTTACCCTAAAGCCTAACCTAACAATGATTAAATGTTGTTTTAGTACACTTTACAGAGGGGCACAGTACTGAAGATGTGTTCTGCTTGTGTTGGCAGAGCATTGTTGGTTTGAAGGTGGAGGAGATAGAGGCATCTTCCTGTCTTTCCTTCTGAGGAGTCAACTAGAGTCAATGAATTCTTCCTCTTGAATGTAGTTACTTCACTTGTATATGTCTTTGTCAATCCTAGAGGTGTATAATTTTTTTTCTGCTGCTTCTTTCTATACACCTCATTGTGGTACCTGTACTCAATTGTCTTGGAGTGGCATTGCTTGTAATGCCAGTTGTCTTTGAGCTCATCGTTGTTGGGTTTAATCATAAAATTAACAAGAAACAAGCTAGCAAATGCAATGTACATTCCACAACACGAGAAAACATGATGATAAACAAACATTGCCAAGTTGTCTAAGGCTAACTGGCCGTTCAACCAACGACAAAGCATGACTATCCCAACTCCATGAATGCAAGTTTGTTCATTGAATTGTTGTATCTTAAATCACTGCTGCCATTAAACTGAATTATTATTCATCGAGTACTCATTCAACAGAACTTTGCTGTAGATTGTTAAAAAAGGTTGAAAAGTTGTCCTTGCCTCTGGGGGTGAAGAGAAATCTACTATCTGTTTTTGTATGTTTTCTGTTATAAGTATCAGCAACCTCTTTTGGAACATTTTTTATTTGAGTTTGTAGCCATTGTAGTGCAGTATATACAGATGACCTTCTGTTGCAGGATAGGGGGATAGATCAGAATGGTTTCAGTCCTGCTAATTAAATCTTTTTGAATGAGAAGTTTGGTGATCACATTGTACAAATATAAATCTTGACCATTCTTTACAGGTGTGTGTGGGACGAGGCTTCATCTGTGAAGTGTGTGGGGAGGGGGAAGCCATTTTCCCATTTCAGTTGGATTCTACTGCACTCTGTAATACTTGCAGTGCTTGCTTCCATGCTGGCTGCTTCTCTCCCCTCCGTTGTCCTCGCTGTATCAGACGAGAGACACGGCGTTTATCCCAAGATCATCTTGATAAACCAGACTCCTAACATTTGCTTTGGTTTGTTAAGTTGAGAATCTTAATTTTTATTAATATATTTATGTCTACCTATCAATCTTGCCATTTTCATGTTGAATAATATCTTACTGTCTAAACTATCCATCATGTCAAGCTACTTACCGGTATCTACAGTAGATCCATTATGCCAAAATATCCCCTCTATCCATTATGCATATCGATCTTATTCCATCTATCCAGCAAATTGACATCTATATATCCCTGACTATCCACCTTTATCTTCTTATTTCTTGTATATACATTTAGCACTGAAGCTCTAGTTTAGGAAGCTTCTTACACATGTGATAGTTGCACCTAATTACCGATAAACTTTAACCAAAGAATGCCATTATCCTTTCACAAAATATGATCTGGTTCTTGTGTAATGCTTGTAAATATTTTTACTGTTTGCTGAAAGAATCAAAGCTGACTGCCAAATAACAGTTCAAATAGGTACTTGTTACTGCTTATAAGCAACCATTAGCCAAGTTGTTTGTGTATTGTAAACCAAGAGCTAGTTTAAGCAGTTTGGTAAGCAATTGCAGTGCTAAGTAGTCAAGTACCATGACTGATCCATGCTAGTTAACTTCTTGCCAGGGAGTCATCATCCCACTCATCACAGTATACTTCAAGTGCTTCAAGCTGAAGTGTGAACTTCTGTTATGTGTAGACCTATGCAACTTGTCATATTTTGTGTGACCTGCTACAGTAGTGGCAAGTGATTCTGTTGGAGCTGAATAATAAATTAGACAGTCCAAGAGGTCAGATATACACAGAAGGTGATACTTTGAACCTTATATAAAAATATAATTTGTATATGTATTGTGTAATAAGACAGATGACACATTACAGCAGATTATGTTTGTGCATAAAGAGAACTTGAGTGAATATAGAGGAAATAAACATTTATGTACACATTAATATTTCTGTTGCTCCAGTATTAAAAAATATTGGTATGGACAATAGTTTAGTAATTTTTAGATTATTTTAATACACTGATAGCATGATACAATAAATCCACCCGTTAATGGCATAAATTAAGAGTTACTTGTCAATTTAGGAATTTTATTAATCCCACAAAAATCAGAGTTTAACTGTACAGACACTCCCCGGGTTAGAGAACACTTGGTTTACAGAAATTCGAGGATACAGAATGCCTCCCATTAGTTCCATTGCTGTATAAAAATTTTCAGGTTGCCCAAGAGTTTCTGTTATTACGGAAGGTAACTAGAATGGCGTAACAATAATATTTGCGGAGGATTGTGCATAAGGTGGCTGAGAGCATCCCCTTGTGAGATGCCATCTGTGATTCAGTATAGGGTACAGTACATGTTTACCTTATAGAAGGGTCATTTTCAGTTTACAGAAAATTTGGCAGCTGTGCCCAAGCTTTTGAAAATTATAATATTAATACAAAACTCATCATTGAAATTAACACTGGATAGCACTCTGAAGTGTACAGTACTGTACAGTCTATATAAGAAGAACAGATTTGAAAAGTGATATACTGAACAGTACAGTACTATATTAATCAAATACAGGTAATTTAGTTTTCACAAAATTGCATTCTAAACTATTAACAGTTATTATCCATGAAAGTTTATTAATTGGGCTTTGGCTTATTGGAGGGTGTATTGTATTTTTGGAACAAAGGTATTTTAAGATTTATGTTTACATAATAATATTCAATGGGATAATGCCACCCTATTGAGGGAACCCCATGAATTGGATTTACTAAATATATTTGTATGCTTAAATGCTATTTAAATATTAGAGTTTTAGCAATGTATAATTAACGTGTTAATTATATTTTTAAGGTTTTCAACAATTTTGCACATACTGTACTGCATAAGATTTTAATTTTTTTTTTTAATACCAGAAAACCCCTTACCTGTATTTCCTTAACACCTCACTGTCATGACTGACTACATTTAAGCTATTACTGGGTAATGAAGAGGGCAACACTACACCTGAGTCATGGATGGAAACAAAGTAATATTGATGTGACTATGTTTCAGTTTAGTATCCATCCCATGAACCAACATCATTTAGCTTACTTTCCTAAGAATAATACATGTTCAAAGTAAAAATAAATGGTTATTCCCAACTGTAGTCCACTGTTGTAAATGAAAACATAGCATTATTTATTTTATTTTATTTATTTATTTATTTTATTTTTTTCATTCGACTTTGTATAGTATAGGCGAATGCTGTGTGTAAAATTTTGATGTAGTGGTTCCTTTGAACTTTTACACACTATTTTGGGGAAAGTGCCTGGGTATTGTCTCTTATAGCTTTTGGGGATTGTATGTACAGTACAGTGCTTTATTAGTACAGGTGTTAGAATGTACAGTTGTCCACATATGTTATACTGTATTCCTTGTCTGACATACGACTTGGTACATATGACAACACCGCAGTGAGAGTTGGGGTGGAATGGTGGAGAGGGACAACAGAGTCGAACAATTTAATTATAACACAAATACGTTAGGTCTAGAGGCCATCCCCCAGTTGGATTACCTTGACTGCAGCGGTGCCACATGTACCAGGTTAAGTGAGGGGCGAGGAACATAACATTTGCGGGCAGGTGTACATCTAACCCATCCAATGAATATTTTTATGGTGTGACATATTAGAGTCGTGTCACCTACAGATATTTCCTTCATACCTGAGGTTTACTTGACTTCATAATCTCTATTTTAATTTTTAGGGGGAAGGTGAAAGGATAAATCCAGCAGCTGTGTATTCAAAGCTAACTTTTCAGCAAGAAACAATGTATTAAGGGGGATGTATTCCTGACCAGGAATTTTGTGGGTACTTGGGGTGATTTTTCATAGAGAAACATTTACAAATTGGTAAAAGCACATGGTGTTACTTTTTTTATTACAAGAACATAGCAAAAATATGAAACATTTTGAAACAATTTAAATTTTGGTCACAAATTAAATTTTGATACGTAGATTGAAATTGCAATACGTACCGTATATGAATTTGGGATAAACTTGGTCGAGCTGCACCTGTTTTATTTCTTTTATTGACTTTATTATTTGAAATGGTAGTTTTATTTTATGTTGTGATTTTCATTGGATTTGTTATGAAAGGATTTTGTAGTGAGGACCAGTAGGGTGAGTAGAGGTCCAGGAATGTTTCCTTGTTAAATGTGGTATATATGATAAATGGATTTCTTTATACAAAGTTGCCTTTTCCGATTTTTTTTTAACACAACCCTTGCATAAAGCAGAGAAAACCACCAAATCATTGACATAAACATTCATGGTTTGTTGTTTTGTGGCAGACTAATTAGAGAAAGTATTTTTATGTGGCAAAGTGTTTAAATTACCATATTGAGTCTTGCACAGCCATTTGAGGAGTTGTGTGCTTTGGCTGTAGCTTCCTGTATACATTCAGCAGTGATCATAGTTCTCCATCTCCAATTTTAATTACTGTACTGCAGAATTTGCAGTTTGATTATGATTAAAGAGTACTTTATCAATTATCATTAATTTGAAACAAGAATACAATTTAAAAAACATGCTAAGCTTATCAGCTATGAAGTGTAACCAGGTCCATGGGAAGCCTGGTGAATGTGTAATAACTAACTGACTGAGTTCAGATTCTCAGTTGTTTTGACAATAAATAATCCTCGAGAGTGAAGACATAAGAATGGACCTACAGTATTTGGTTGACTTAAGCTAAATTGCATGTATGAAATCAATGTTAACACTGATTAATTAGATATTCACTTCATACCAGTTCTGAATAAAATTAACTTTCAGAATATATATCTGTTCAGAGCTAAGAGGGAGGCTGGGTATTGAGAGTACAGTACTGTATTCGCAAAATCCTGTGAAAAGGAAGGCTGAAATGGTTTGGGCATGCGGAGAGAATTGATGAGACCAATTGAGTCAAAAGGCAAAAATGAAAGTGGGTCCCATAGGCATGACTGCCCAGGGCAGTGTGGATACAGCACACTGTATACTGTACTAAGCCTGAGGTACACGAGGAGAAAGCATGGCCAGTACTGCACTCGACCACCTTCACGTCCCCAAGTTGTAAACTAGGTACCCATTTACAGTTGGATGAACTGGGAGCACCCGGGAATCGAACCACCAAACCCTGGAACAGGAGGCGAGTGCTGTATTTACTTGACCACCACTGACCTTGGGTCAAGAGGTACACAAGCCTAAATGCAAAGGGGGGGAGGGGGGGGGGGAGCCAGGAGTAGGTAGACCAAGAATGACATGGGAGAGGTTGTAAGAAATAACTTTTAGAGTTAGGAACCCGACAAGAGAGACTGCAAGAGACCATGCAGCATGGAGAGCTGCCGTCAGGTAACTGCAGTTAACCTACGCAAGCGTGGAAAATGGCCATAAAAAATGATGATGATGCTCAACCATTGTAATTGGAGATACAGCAGCTATTTTACTATGTTTTAGAATAAAGCCTTGTTTTCCACGTGATTAAAATCTGAGAGTAATGCAGTCAGTTATGTTGTGGCAACTATTGGGACACATTACAGCTATATGTGTAGTGGGAGCTTACAGTACAGATTTAACATCAGTGGACTTCATCTGCAATGGTTGTTGGCTTGGACAATAATTACCAAATTCACATTACAGTACTGTATTGTTGAATTACTACACATTGATTCCGAACCGTTTCTTATGCACATGCTTACAGTATGCATAGATTGCCAAAATGATTGCAGAAGAATTACTGTGTAGGTAAATTGGCTATCTAAATACTGTACCTTATATTAATATACAGTACAGTACAATGACACTTCTCATGTACTCTTTACTGTGTTAAAAGATATAATTTATTGAATGATGATGTTATATTCAAGGATAGTACATGGAGAAAGTTAGCTTTTGTGTGGTATCATTAAATGTTTAAATCATGTACAGTATGTGGTATTTATTTTGGTGTTTGCTTGGTGTCTAAACCCCTCCCCCCTTAGGGCAGTGTTTCCAATCTTTTCGAATCACTCGACAAAACTTTTTTCCACCTCCGAAAGTGTCAGTTTGTTTGTAACTTTGACAGTAAATATTCTTATTTCTATATATATATATATATATATTTTTTTTTTTCACTCATATCTTCAAAGATAATGTTTTCAAGCAGTTATACTGTATCTTTACATACATTAATTTGGGTATTAAAATGAGACTCAACTGAGTCTCAATAGTTATATACGAATTTATTTGCTATACAGTATATCAGTATTAATCGAACATTGTGTATGAGCCAATGAGCTGCAAGGGCTTGTACAGTCTAGTAAAAAGAAACCGACTACCTGTATTGATAAGATGTTTCTCGTAACTGCATTTTTCACAAGTTCATAACAGACTCCACAATAAAATTAGATGAATCCCAGTTATATGAAAAGTTGTAGGAACATGATTTGTCATTTTCTTTAAGATAGGATACACTGTTCCTTACAATTTATTATTTTCATATTATTTGTTTCTTTAGTTTTTAGAGCTTATGTTAATTTATGTAAATAATATATATTTTAAATACAGACTATAATAATTGTTTAATGCTAGCACAATGGCGGCCTTACCACAGGATGTATACATTTCTTTATGTTGGTAGGAACTGGTTATCACATTTACACAATGACTTTATTTATACTATACATTATATCTTTTTCATACTCATTCTATGTATAATTTAACTTCCAAAGCCTTATATTTTTTCAAAGATGTAGCCTTATGTGCTTCAAATAAAGGTTCCCTTTAAACAAAATACTTTTTATTTTATATAATTCAATGTATTATGATAGGTTGCAAGACCCTACAGCTGCCTTCACATAAATTGAGTTTGGAGCAGAGGAGGGGAACACAATGAACAATTTTCTGTTTTTGTATAATTTTCTCTCTGGCTCAATTTAATATCTTTGGTACTCTAACAGACAAGTCATTAGGGCAACTCTCATTAACTTAAACTTGGAAAAACGTGAGGGAGGAGGACAGAACACTATTAACAGCACTGTATGGTAGTAGTAGTACAGTATAGTGGTCCCTTGCCAACTGCGGAGGTTAGGTTCCTGAAAATAATCGTGGGTTTAAATCTGCGGTTGGCAAGCATAAAGGCTTACGTATGGGAAATAGGGGGTTATGCAGTAGATTCCATGGCTGCAGATAACACTCATCAAAGCCTAACTAAGATGCCTGTTCCTTCACTAAGCAATTCCTTCACTGTACTTTTAATTATATTTGAGTCAAATACATATAAAATAGCTTAATATAAATTAAATATTGATGTAAGTTTTATTGTACAGGGGTAGTATTTACCTTCACGATATTGATGGATAAGTTTGATGTGGAGGGAAAGGGCAACACATGCCCGTATTATAGCCTCGCTATTTTTTGTGGTACAAATAGATGATTCGTTTACCCCCATAGCACATCCCACTGATGCTATATAAATGCTCTCCCCATGCTCTAGTCTATCACACACTTTATCTTTTTTTTCTAATGTCATTCCTTTCCCTTTTCGCCTTCTTCTCACCTTATAACTACCACTTGAGGAATGCTTAGGGACCATAATCAAGGGCAAAATCAATGTTATTATAATATGAAATAAGTAAGAGAATACGAAGCAGTACAGTATGTCAGCATGCTATGAGATCACAACATTGAGCATGGAGAGCTGTGGCTGGCTGCGGGGATGGTATAATCCGCGGATACCTGTACATAAAACTTAATGCCGCGGTTGGTAAAATGGTATAGAGTGAAAACCGTGAATACATGGAAACCGCGGATGGGAAATCCATGGTTGGCGAGGGTTTAATGTAGCACTATAGTGGTGGTAGATGTAAAGTAATACAGTACTGTATTAGTAGTTGTAGTACTGTTAAAGTTGAAGTAGCAGTTCTACAATCCCAATGGTTAAAAATGCTAAAAGAAAAATTCCAGCATAGAATTATAAATAGGATAAATACCAATTTGTCAAGTATTAATTACATCTTATGTTCCTTAGTGCTCAGGAATTAACCCTCTGGTACTCTTGGCCATGGTCAGAAATCTCAACCCCTGTGGTCTTTCAACACAAATAGTGTCGTTTACAATCTCATCCCCTTGCGGTCTTTCGATGCAGGAACGACTTTTCAATATATTAGTAAACATTAGGCAGAGTTATCCAGACCTAAATTGTACCCTTAGAGATGCATCTGCCAACCCACAAGGCATTTCTGTTCATGGGAGAGGTGCTCTCGGTGTGAGATCGGCTAAGCAGGAAGGGTTGTGCTATCACGGGAGCACTTAGTGATACAAGCTGTGTCGAAAGACTACGAGAAGGTTACAAGTACAAGCTGATAAGCCACAACAGAGCGATAATCTCAAGGCAATAATTTTTTTCTTCAGAATGGGCACTTATTGCTTTGGAATTGTTTACAACTTTAGTACAACAGTAAAAGGTGCAAAAAATGGCACCCAGAACTCTTATTTATTGATTAATCAGCATTTCAAAACAGTTAAAATCACATCTAAAGACAATACACAACCATGTACAGTACTGTAATAAAAATTTTACTTACCAACAGTGCACAACAGGGGTCTGATTGGCTGCCCAACCAACAGTAAACTTTAACATGGTGGATCCAGTTTTTAACCGTCTAGATATCTGAACGACCTTCAGATATCTAGACGGTCCGTACCTCGTAACAGTCTTCAAGAGTGAGGTGCTTCCCCGCCTGGTCCCCGAGATATGCTAGGGACTGTCAGTCGATTGAAAATGTCCAAAGGAGGGCCCACCAGACTGTTGCCTGCACTTCGGCACCTCAGCTACCCAGATTCGGTGCTCCAGAAACAGTGCTCCAAAACCAGTGTTACAGATCAAGTGCTCCAGAATCAATACCCCAGAAACAATGCTCCAGAACCAGTGCCCCAGAAACAATGCTCCAGAAACAATGCTCCAGAATCAATGCCCCAGAAACAATGCTCCAGAAACAATGCCCCAGAAACAATGCTCCAGAACCAATGCCCCAGAAACAATACTCCAGAACCAATGCTCGAAAAACAATGCTCCAGATGCAGTACTCCTATTCACACAGAGGATGATAGACGTACACCTATAGAACAGTCTACCAAATCGAGCTGTGGAAGCGAAAACAGTACTGGGCTTCAAAACAGTCATTGACAAGACTATCAAGAACAATGGTGGGATCCTACACAGGCTGCTGGCGCCCATACCTCAGCATGGTGAACTATAGTGGGCGGTCATCAGGTAAAGACAGTAAGTAGGTACAGTACAGTTGGTAAAATTTGGTGAATGAGAAATATATTCAGTAGTTATCCTATGAATTGTTTTCTCTAATGTTAGGCGTTTCAGTAAGTCGAGAGGGCTAACTGTGTTATGTTGGAGACTATTTAACGTGTTTTATTTATCATTTCCCTGTTATCAGCTTCTTAGCAGTTGATTGGTTGATTGATCGATTAATTAATTGATTGATTGATTGAATGACTGATCGATTAATTGAGTGATTGGTTGATTTTATTGGGAATTCAACACATGTTTAATAAACTACAGTACAGGTAAGAACAACAATTACAAGAAAACACTTATCATATAGTGTACATTATTAACGGAACTCCGAGAATAACATTGAAAGACAGAAGATTCATTGATAAAACCACACAGAAAAAGGAAACACTGTCTCGCTTGACTTGATCACAAACACTCCCTGCAGTACCAATCTTCTCCACAATAGGCTACGTTTCATTGTTTTGTTTTGAGAAAATCTTGAATTTTGGAGGTTTATTATGAAATTATATTTAAATGCCAACCACTGCCAAAATAGATCTCTAAAATGAACCATCGCTGAAGTACTGATATGTAAAAACCGAAAAAAAATATTAGTTATAAAGTGAGTTTTTTTAAGCGTTATCATCATTTGTCCCATCACTATCACCCTCTCCTTCCCTCCCTCTCCCATTTATCCTCCCCTCCCCCCCCCTCTACCTCATCCACACACCGTCTCTCCCTCTCCCCCCCCCCTGCCCCCTTTCTCCTCAACAACTATCACGAGTGTTGATTGAAATTCCCACTACCTGCCCCAGGCCACGTAGGACGGAGGGGAGGGAGGGAGGGAGGGGTGGCTCCTGTCTGAGTACTTCCCCACCAACCCTTTGTGGCCACCTGTGTGTGTGTGTGTGTGTGTGTCACATAAAACAGACGGGATTTACGTGGTCTGTCAGAATGTATTTGTAGGCAGGGGTGACGGTGGTAGTGGTGGTGGGTGTAGGCAAGGGTGATGGTGGTGGTGATGAGATGGAGGGTGTAGACAAGGGTGGTGGTGGTGGTGGTGATGAGGTGGTGGAGGGTGCAAGCAGCGATGGAGATGGTAGTGATGATGTGTAGCAGTGATGACCGACCCATGGCACCTACCTGTCCCCTACCTCAACACCTTCCCCTTTCTAGTCGAGACCACTCCCCTCCCCCTCCCCTCCCACCGGTACATAAATGAACAAATCACCCGTTTTGGTCCTATGAATATTAACGCGAACTGACGCCCAAATTTCACTATTGTTTAGCGAGACGTTTAATAGCCCACTCTTCCCCCAATTATCTCCACCAATTCCTATAACATATTATGGACCGATGTGTATACTTTATATTATATAATTCCAGGGTCTAGTTTCTATAATGGAATAGCTACCCAAAACCTTATTAGCAGTGTAGATTAGATTACAGGTAGTGGTGTTGGAGGTGATGGGTAGGTAGTGGTGTTGGAGGTGATGGGTAGGTAGTGGTGGTGGAGGTGATGGGTAGGTAGTGGTGTTGGAGGTGATGGGTAGGTAGTGGTGTTGGAGGTGATGGGTAGGTAGTGGTGTTGGGGGTGATGGGTGGGTAGTGGTGTTGGAGGTGATGGGTGGGTAGTGGTGTTGGAGGTGATGGGTGGAGTGTGGTGTTGGAGGTGATGGGTGGGTAGTGGTGTTGGAGGTGATGGGTGGGTAGTGGTGTTGGAGGTGATGGGTGGGTAGTGGTGTTGGAGGTGATGGGTGGGTAGTGGTGTTGGAGGTGATGGGTAGGTAGTGGTGTTGGAGGTGATGGGTAGGTAGTGGTGTTGGAGGTGATGGGTAGGTAGTGGTGTTGGAGGTGATGGGTAGGTAGTGGTGTTGGAGGTGATGGGTAGGTAGTGGTGTTGGAGGTGATGGGTGGGTAGTGGTGTTGGAGGTGATGGGTGGGTAGTGGTGTTGGAGGTGATGGGTGGGTAGTGGTGTTGGAGGTGATGGGTGGGTAGTGGTGTTGGAGGTGATGGGTGGGTAGTGGTTTGTGTTGGAGGTGATGTGTGTTTTGGTTCGTAGTCCAGCTGATTGGTGGTAGTTATTGTTATTAATGAATCACTTTGTTTTAATAAGATATTACGCCGTGCAATAAGATGAGGTGGTGGGAGTGTTTGTCATGTTGCCTTTGTTTGTCTGTCTTTCTGTCTGTCTGTCTGTCTTTGTCTGTCTTTATGTCTGTCTGTTCTGTTGCCTTGTCTGTCTGTCTGTTGTGCTGCCTTATCTGTCTGTTCTGTTGTCTGTCTGTCTGTCTATTATAAAATGACTCGAAATAACTCTTTTTTTTTTATTCACTTGAGTTTGTAAGATTAGATGACAAAGTTAGAACAGGCTTAAGGGGATGATATAATCTCTATAAACTAACTTGTGAATAACTTATCTGAATTTGCCTGGGCGTTAACAGGAAGGCGTTCACGAATACGACAAACTACTGTACACACATCTTCACGAAAGTCATCC